GTGATTGGATGGCGGTATGGGATCATCATACCGCGGACATGGATGATCACCCACGGGCGAGGCGGTCTCATAGCGTTTCGAGAGCAACGTGAACTCCTGGTGGGCAGAGCACAAGGCCTGAAGGCGGTGCAGAAGATCGGTCTCGGGTAGATCACGAAGATGCAAAGTCCTGGCCACCGAGGTGCGGAAGGATTGCAAATGTGAGAGCCGCTGATTGGCATCCGAGAGCTGGGAACTCAGACGATTGACATCGTCGCGCATGGACTAATAATTGGAATGAAAAATTAAATGATTAATTCTTATCATAAGTAAGTTTGTTTTACTTCTTCAACTCACATTGATTAAGCCTCATCGCGACACCGCCGATTCTGATTGGATTCGCAGGAGGACTTCAAACGCTCCTTCAGGGCACTCATTTGGGACAGCAGCCGGGTCTTCTCATCCTCCAGATCGCATATCTGCGTAGTCAGTTCATCAATCTTTCTAGCGCGCTCCAGCGAAGTAATCTTGTACTCCACAGCCTCGGCCAGTTGGGCCTTGACCTCCGCTATCTGGGATCGGGCATCCGCCAATTGGGCACTCAGCTTGTCCACCTGTTTGGATGCCTTTTTGGCCCGACAGACGGCATCATCTCGCTCCCCTGCAACATGCACTTGCCTCTGGCACCGTCCTCTATAATGGCCAATTTGCGACGCAGTAGCTCCAGATGAAGATCCCTACGCTGCACTTGCTCTCGAAGCACACGTACCCTTCGCTGCAGATTATAGACACTGCTGCTCTCCTTCAGTGGAATATCATGGCAGGATCTCTCCCGTCTGAGCTTGCCATGAACATGACCATCGCAGCAGCCCTTCTCGGGCTATGGGAATGATGGTGATGATGATGGTGGGCGTTGGCCACCTCGTGCTCACAGTGAGCGGTGAGTCTCTCGGCTCGCTCGAGAAGATTCTCCGCCATCAGATTTGTATCGGTGCCGAGAGCCGGCGGAGCAGAGCACTCGCTCCAGTTCATGGCATTGGCCAGACGCTGCAGGAACTCCGAGAGTCCCATGTGATCCTTGCGCAGTGTATGAATCTCCGCATGGCATTTCTCCAGTCGATCGGAGAGCTCACACTTCTGGGCCTCGCCGGAACGAAGGCGACACTCGGTGGTCTGCTGGGTTTCCTTCAACTTTTCGTGCTCGGAGTTTAGCTGATCGCGAAGGGAATGCATTTGCTGCAGGCAATTATAAGGATAATATAGTAAGTGTACAGGTTTTAATAAAGTAATCAAACCCACCGCATGCATGGCTTGATTCTCCGCCAGGGTCTCCCTTAACTTATCCTTGATGAGTGTCTCGCAGGGCTCTGGGACATTCAAAAGGTTACTCAATCCACGCAAGAACTGCAGGCGATCACCCTGAATCCTATCCAAATTATTCTGCAAGCGATGACACCTTGACTCGAAGCCCCTCAGCTCCTCCTTGAGCTTTTCCCCATTGATCTCGGATTCGGTAAGGCGATCCCTTTGGATCTGCAGATCCCTTTCGTACTGACGACAGCGTCCTTCAAGCTCGTGATTGTGGTTTCCAGCCCCGTCCAGTTGGGCCGTCAGGCGCTGTTTCTCTATATTGGCCAGCGACTTCAAATTGAGCAGCTCATTCTCACAGGAGCTGAGAGTGTCACAGGTGGAGCTGACCTTGGCCTTGGCCCGTTGCAGCTCCACCATCACCTCCTCGGCCCGGGAAACAATGCACTCGGGCGTGGCATGTGAATTTTGGTTCCCATCGCACACATCCATTCCCAGTGCAATGCTAAGGCGTCGCAGGAGATCGTGTAGCTGTGCCTTGGCCTGCTCCTTTTGGGACTCCTCACTGGCCACATGGGTCTCCAGATGCTGGATCTTGCATATAAGCTCTTTGTTGCGCTCATCCGAGCTACGCTTCTCCCGCTGCACTGTGCTGATGGTGGAATCGCATCTGGCCTGCACGGCTTGCTCTCGGCTCTCTGCATTCTGGAGGCGAGTCTGCAAGGATCCAATGAGTGCCGTTTGCCGGGCAGCCTGCGCCCGAAGGTTCTCGATATCCGCATCCTTGCTGCACAGGGCGGTGCGGGCTTCAGCGAGCTTTCAAAGAGAATTTTAAGAATTATTTTGTATTAAATATTTAATAAAATATTATTTAATACATTACCTCTCCCGTAAGCCTCTCCTTTTTGTAGGATAATGCAGCCAGTTCGCTTCGCAGAGTGGTGGTCATATCCAGGCCATGATGATGCTCGGTGACAGTGATTCCCGCACTGCCACAGGAAGTGTCCAACTAAAAATAAATATAAAACATTCAAATAAACTTAAACTACCTTCGTTAAATTTACAAAAGTTGGCAAAAAATTGATTTTGAATTTTAAATTGAGTATACAGTTTTATTAACCAAACAAAAGAAACAGAAAGTTTTCCGAATTGATATTAATGACTTTTTGGCAAAGCTATGGGTTTTTTTCAAATTTGATTTTAGAAAAAATTTGCATAAATAATAGATAAATTTTGGTATTATAATTTTAATCAGAAGCTTGCAAAGCAGTGAAGGAGTTATTTCCGACCCTATAATTCATATATATTCTTGATTAGAATGGAAAGCTAAATTAATCTAGCAATATCCGGTTGAAATACAATTTTCGAAATTATTTTCATTTTTTCAAAAAAAATTGATTATAATTTTCAAATTTGACAAAACATTTTTAATTTTTAAATTGTAAAACTCGGTATGCAGATTTGTTAGCCCCATAAAAACTACCACAGAAAAGAAATTTGATTTAAAATTAATGCATTTTTTACTTAGTTATGATATTTGAAAAAGTGTGATTTATAAAAAAAACATAGCATTTAAAAATATCGATTAAGATATACCTAGAACACAGATTGTCTAGATATTCTTGTAGGTATACGAACGAAAAAAGCCATGATTGCCAGAAGTCATATATATTTCAATTTGCAATCCAAAATCTTCTCGAAGTTAGTTTCTTTCTCTTAAAATTCTCGATTAACTTTCTACAAATTTCACTTTAAATTTAAAATCAATCCGAAGCAACTCTCTCTCTCCTACCAAATGATGATGATGGGGCGACAGACCAGCACTATGTCCTAGGTAGTGATGATGCAAATGATTGTCACTGGGCATTTTCGAATCACCCAAAAACCAGCGGGTCACAAAACTTAACCGTTCTCCGTCGTGGTAGCCGATGGACTGAGCCCGTAGTGACGTCGCTAAACTCCTGGCCGTGGGCCTAACAACCTCTGCCTGGCACCGAGGAATTTACTCCAACATAACATCACACAATGCTCGAGTTTATGCTCCAAGTGAAAACGAGCTCAATGGCAGGAGCAGGAGCAGGTGTAGCAGGAGCAGTAGCAGGAGAAGCACGGAGTGGCAGGAGTATGAGGAAGCCCGGAACTATAGCCACATTTACACATCGGGGTAACTTTGCAGGTTGTTTGGATTATTTGGGTCATTCACATGGCGCCAAGTGGCGAAGAACGTTCACGTACGAGGAGTATCCAATGCAATATCCACAAGGGACTCACGCACGCAAATGCGGATGAGGCCGGGTATGAGGTAACGATGGTTTCTATGGTGGAAATTTTGCACTCTAGGCCGGAAACGGAAAATGATGTGTGCAAGTTTTTGGCCAATTGTCTGCACTTTCCAAAAGGGGGAAAGAAGACAAATGGGAACTGAAAATGTGCTGAGCATTCGATAAGCTGGGCAAAAGTTAATTATGCAGCCAATTGAGTTTGGTTCGGAAAGGAAATTGAAATTGTTTTGGAGAGAAAATGTTGCACATAGTTTAATAAATGAGTTTTTGAATACTTAAATTAAAGATTTCTTTCTAGAAACAAACCATTTCTAAAGTTCTCTATATTTATAAGCTTTTAGAAAGGTTTCGTCTATGTTTTAAGTCTGTATCAAATCTATAAAGTTTCTACTAGAAACTAATACTGAGTCAAATTACTGTGGCATTGTAAGTCATTTTCCCATACTATAAAATAATAAACCTTAGCTATACGAACTATAATTAGTTAGCCTATAAATTATATCTCAGCCTGACTTCCCTCTAAGACCTTATTCTCTGATTATATGCACCCTTTGACAAATTCTTTAACCACAATTCCAACCACTGTAACCCTACCGATATTACCAAATTCTATGCAAATCCTCGACCCCCCCAAATTCAGACAAAAACATCATTAGAGTTCCCCTAACAACCGCATAAATTTGAAACATAAAAAAGCGACGAACAAAGTCGTTATTCAATTGCGAAATCACATAAATCTAGCCCTAATATGATGATGATGTACCTTAATATGGCCATTTGGCACACGATTCCGCGAGTCTAATTTTAGGCAGTTGGAAACAGACATGACTTACCTGGTGGTAAGTTGGAGTGGGGGCCGGCACTGTGGTCATTATGCTTCCGGGGCTGATTTTTGTGACATTTTCAGAGCCGCACAAACCTCAAACACTAGCCAATCCTCCGAGGTATTGCCATTGGTCGTGGGGCGCGGATTTACCGGCATTCCAAATGATTTTATCTGGGTAAAAAACCCGATCCGCCTCTAACTGCCGATGAAGAATTTCTACACTCTCTATTTTCTAGGCGCCGGACAAAAAATAACTAGCAAATAACATAGGCAAAGTTATGCGGCGACTTTCAGTTGGTTGCCACGGAGCATAAAATAACTATGCACGGAGGACGCATTTCTCAAAGTTGGTGTGGGAGTTACTACGGCGACGTGGAGTGCATGTAATTCGATTTTCTAAACTGCAATTTCCACGGAAAACCCCCACCTCTCGGTATCGTTTGCCTGTAATTTCATTTGTCTCCAAACAAAACAAAATAATAATGAATATGGTAAATGTTTGCCTTAAGTTGGGTTCGCTACGCCCCATTCCCTTACTACTACCAATACCCTGATCCCTTGACAGTGACTTTGAAGGCAACAAGAAGAACAACAACATGCACCCGTTGGGGGTTAAGTTCACCAGGCATTACACAGAGTTATTTGATTATTTTGTTTGGGTTGCCAAAATAAATACATTTTTCCGAATATCGATGAGCTTTAGAATTTGGCTTGCTTCTTTTTTTCTTGGCCGGATCCTTTGGGTTGTAGACAGCTTCTAAGGCCTGCACCGTGGCTCTCACATCTACGACGGTTTGTTCAGCCTTAGCCTGGGTAAAGAGAGAAATTTGTTAATTAAATGCATATACATACATTAATCTGATAAATCGACAACATAATTTGCACACTAAAGACAGTTAGAAGAGTCCGTTACTTCCTACCTGCTTTTCCTTTCGTATTCTCTCCTCCGTTGCCATTAGTTCCCTCTCCTCAGCAATTCGCCGCTTGTACATCTGCTCCTGCTCCGTGTAGAACTTGTAATCATCGTTGACCTTCGTCAGGGCAAGTCGTGCCACCGTGCACTCTACCTCGGCATTTTCCAGATCGTTTTCGTAACGCATCTGCCATTCATTGAGCTGCTCCCTCAGATTGTCCACTTGAAGGGAGTAAATGTTCTCGGAATGGTTTTGAACCAATTCGTCCTTGTAAATTATTTCCTCCAGGTCCTTAAGTTGCTTCGCCAGATCCTCCTCGCGTCCATTAAGGCGCATTAGCCGCTGGTCCGCACAGCTGTTCAGCCAGTTGAATCGGTAGCGAATCTCGATGGGATCCATAGCTAAGATTGGTTTTTAGAAGTTCCAAGATATAAGAACTACATTTTAAAATTGAAAGCTGACCTCACTTACCGGTCACGTCCTCGAACTGATCAAGGACCGCCGTGAGACGAGTGTTTTTGAGGTTAACACTGCTGGAAGTATCAAGCATAGTAATCGCCTTTAAGTGGTCTTTTATCGCACGATTTTCAACGAGTCCCTTAATCCAAGAACCATTCAAGTTGTACTTGGCTTCACTGAAAGAAAATTTGCATACATACATATATTGAAATAGAGAATCTTTACAGAAAATAACCACTTACCGCAGCATTTGCATGCTATTGGAGCAGAGATTATGATTGAAACTAAAGTCTTCTCTGATCTCGTAGATTAAAAGCATTATTTCGTGCAGATCCGTCCGAAACTTAAGGCAGTCGAGATCCTCTGTGGTTCGCTCCCGATGGATAACGTCAAGGTACATCTGGTTATGGTCAAGTCGTTGTAAGAAATGATCCAGGGACCAGCTAAATAGGCGGTAGGGCATTTCGTCCAGTTTGCCGGGCCAGGGGCTGGAGAAGAGACGCAGCTGCCTAAGGAGGCGCACCGACATGAACTCAATGGCTGCCTTCTGGCACTGCTGGTTGAGGTCATTCAGCTGGGAGAGTCGCTCCACGTACGCTTCGGAGCTCCTTAACGATCGTTTAGTTGTTGGTTTACTATATTTCTCATACCACTTGCGCAAAATGTTAGCAAGAAGCCTTGTCTCGGGCGTGTTGTTTAAGTCGGCCCATTTTGAGGTGTGGTCAATTTCGCCCATGCTCTTCCGGGCTATTGTTTGTCTCGGCTTTAGAGCACTGATTCTCTTCTCTTCTTCAACCAGGAACTTCTTAATGAACTCATCGCGACACTCGGAGGGATCAATGTCGGGCAATGGAAACAGAACCTCATACTGGTCGGAATCTGGTACTGAAGAATCATCATCTGGATCCGTTATAGTCAGACTTTTCCTAATTTTCGTTTCCATTTTTGTTTTGATAGTTTTTTTTTTAGTGTTCACCTGTCACTTTTAAAATTAATATAGTGTTGCCTAGAATTTTAGACTTATATTCATACTATTTTGATTGTATCATGCTTTCTTTAGACTATTTTATATTGTATAAAATGCGAGACTTGCAATGAGCAATAAATTTTTATATGTAATATATGGTCAATATAATCGAACGAATAATTATTTGACTTAATAAATATAATTCATATTTTAATAGATATTTTCGATATTTACAATTTGAATATTTTGCTATATTTTCGAGAGTGATAACATCACATATGTATCATTTCTCTGTCGATAACAAACATATTAGAATCGAACTCGGTAGGCTAGTTTACCTTGTCAGCCATCACTCAGTAAAAATTTAGTTCGTCGCTTTCCTTTGGAGAGATAGAACTCCTCTGGTACTTTATTTTATTTTGTTTTATTTTCAATTTCTTCGTTTGCTCTATTATAAATGATTTTAAAATGTATGTTATGGAACGGTACAGTAAGTCCTTGCCATTATTATAATGCTGACTAAAATGGTTAAAACTCTTAAACAGGGGGCAAAAACCTCTTAGATGTTTGTTTAATTTTATGGGGTATAACAAATGTATTCTTTCTTTAAATTAGTTGATAAGCGATAGTTGTAATTTTCTATGTTATTAAAAAGAATACAAAAATAATGTTACTGGTCTTCCGTAATCTGTTTTAATTTTTAAAAGATTTTTACGACATTAATAAATTTTGTTTTCCTTTTTAATGACTATTGTTTTATAGGAAGGTTGTTAGTGTTGTAGGCTTTTACACCGTTTTTGCCTATTACTAAATAAAATGAATAAAACTTTTTATATTTTTTATTAAATTGATCTTTTATCTATCTTTGGCTTTACGTTTGCATCATATTAATGTCCAAAGTGACCCCCAGGTACTTATTATCTTTAACCTGCTCAAGAAGCTCTCGTTGCACTAGCATCACTAACACTTTGCCGGGTTATGAATATATTCCAGCGACAGGCCCAATTCTCAAACCGCTTAAGGTACAGTGTCGTCATAAATACAGTTTGATCTGGAGATAATCGAAATATCGTCTGCAACTGTGGCCAGCATTGGCATATAGTGGGTGGTCCAGGATGGAACCTTTTCCTTTTATAGGTTGATTAAGGTACAGCTTGTTTACATACGATATGCCAAACTCCCTGCGACTGAAGCAGAATCAAATGCTGGCCAAATTTTCGGAAGATACTGCGATTATCTCTAGATCCAACTGTATTTATGAGGCCACAGATATGCTTCAGTTGTACCTTAAGTGTTCAAGAATAGGGCTTGCCGCTGGAGTGTATCCATTAACCCTGCAAAGTGTGCTTTAGTGACGCTCTCTCTCACATAAGAGTTGTGTCCTGGCTTGTTCCTTGTGCCGGTTAGAGATAATAAATACCTTTGGGTAACTTTGGACACCCGTTTAACAATCGCAATGGATAGTAAGGTGCTTATTGGAACGCCTGAAAATTAAAGTGTTTTCAAAAATATATATTTACAAATTGTGATAATATTGCCAATCAAATATGGCATTTTTTTAGCGAACGTTCTTATGGTCGTAAGCTGCAGAGCACATTTTAAAAAATTTGTTTGAGCAAATGGAAGCACTTTGAAAAAAAACGATTTATACAAAATTTTTGTATTAAAAATTTATAACTTAAAAATCCTTCGTTATGCCATAGAGAACGTTATACAAAATGTAGGAATGAGAACCAATCCAGCAGTTTTAGAGAAATCATGTACATCGTTTTAAAAATGTAGTTTTGAGCAAAACGCAGTTGACTTATGTAAATTGTGTTATGGCAGTAATCTAGGAACTTAAGGACATTTTCGGAATGTTGTATTATGGTGATGGGGTTAAGGTTGTGTAGGAATAGGAAAGAGGAACAAATAACATATAAATTGTTAATATACAAATTCAGTTCAAAGATTCCCTCCACATAGTGTTGGAAGTGTTTTGTCGAAAAGTGTCGATAACAAAACATTTTCTGACAGAGAGTACAATAACAAGCAATCGCCATTCGCATGTCGACGTGCCAGCACATTTCTTTGAATTTTTGAATGTGTTCGTTTTACTTTTGTTATTGTCCGCAGTTCAGCGCAATTGTTTCCATCAAAATTAGTTACAACGTTAACGCAATTAACGTCAACAGGTGAGATAAACAGCTTCTAAAGCGCAAGTGCACGGTCAGTGTCAGTTTTTGAGGTAAACGGAATCGGCCGCATTTCATTTCGGCTTGCCAAGTCCAGTTTCGCACAGGTGCGTTGATTGTGTGTTGTGCAAAGGTAAATAAGAACGCGGTCTTATGTATGTATGTACAAATAGGGTGTGCGTGCACTTATGTGTGTATTATTTTGCGGCACATTTGTTTATAAGTCTGATTAGAAGTCAGCTGTGCATATTTGCGCCTCCCATATTCATAATATAATAGTGTATATTTGGCTCTTAATTACTCCCAACGTGCGTGTGTGAGTGATGATGTTCGCCTGTGTGTGAGCCCAGCGAGTGGAAATCGTAGTTACGTACAACGCTGCGTATGAGCAATAAACTGTAATTGAGTCAAGATCACAAAACTATCAACAATTGGATTTCGATTTCGAGTATTCCCAGACTTTTAAAGTACTTCGCTTTAATTGATCTTCTTTCAGTTTAAATACTTTATTTTTAATTTTGTTAACAACAATAAAATCAACGATTGATGCTTTCATATATTGCAAAAAAATTGTGGAGATAATTTATAGACATGTCATGTTAAAGTTATGGTCACAAAAAGCCTTAAAAATGTACATAAACATAATAAATTAATTCTAACAACTTCTACAAAATTGAAATTTCATAGGTGAAAAATAGGACAGATCATAAAACTTATTAGGTCAACTTATACGCAAAACTCATAAGAAGACTGTTGAAATGCCAACCAACTTATAGTTCTGCTGATTATTTTCTATAATCCTTCCACTGACAGTTATATTGATTTGTGTTTAAATTTATTAGCTTTGTATGGCGTGGAGCCCCGCCTTTCCCCATATTAGTTTTATTAATCCACCCGAATCGAAGTTCGATTTATCGTGATTCATATAATTGATGTGGAGCGTTAATAAAAACCGATCACGACTAACAGCGTTTGCTTTGGAACGGTTGGGCAACCACTACTGTTGGTCCGCAGCTTTGCCTCCCCGATAAGGCAAAGAAATAAACAAAATAAAGAAAACAGACAAGACTGTCAGTGCAGCACTGCTGTGAAATCACAATCAAAATGCAAACAGAGATCGGGCTTTAAGAAGTTGAGCAAATATCCAAATTAACGCTGCTGCAAGTGGCGACAGGGGCTCATACACTCACTCCCACAATAATAAACTCACGGGACAGGTGTATAAAAACCGGACACAGTGGAACTTTCCAAAGGGGTACAGCCAATAGGGTTTAAATTGTGAAACATCAAAATGGATTAAATGGAAATGTTTAGGGCGATGTGTTTCCCGATCTAATAGATAAATAAATCAAGTATAAATTGTTAGTAAGAATATTTTCATTTTTAAGGCATATTTTCGAGACTTAATAAAAGCTTAAACGTTTAAATATCACAACATTTCACTGTACTCTCACTAAGTGCCAGACACACTCACACACACACATTGGCGAATAAGATACGAAGAAGACGTCGACGAACTCGTTTCAATTGAGTCTCAAACCGAAACTGTGAAACACAATTCATTCCTCTGGAGAACGCGCAACCGAAAACATTTTCCACCTCGCCTCGCATATAATTCGATTTCTAATTGGTATTTGTTTACATTCGGGTCTCCAGCCTTTGTTTTTATTTTTATTATTTACGTCTCCAGTAAGAGTGCCCGAACCGAGCCCGAGGCCCTACCCAAAAATGGAGCAGTGGAATAATGTCGAGCTGACGAATATGTCAAAAAAGTCATATACCCTGAATCATGAATACGATGCTGCCGCTAAGTTGAACAAGGAGAACACGAAGCCATCCGCGAATGGTAATGGAACGAGTTCGGAGCAGCAGCCACCAGCAGCAGCAACATCAGAGCTGTGCCAGATAGCAGCAGTGATCTGCTCCAGCCAGGATCGGATGTGAAGCCGAAAGTGGAGCCCGACGATGTGGAGAGCTTGCTGCGACGCCTCTACGGGATTACGATAAGCGAGGTCAAGGAAATCGTCGCCTACGACGATCGCAACTTCTTCATCAAGGAGGATAGGTAAGCGAACGAATGGTATATTGAGTCGAAGCCCTAACTCTGTCCCAGCAGCATATTTGCAGCTTTATCTGGGGTCACAGTATAAAATATTCAATACAGTTGCGGTCAGAATAATAGCTTTGATAGAAGACTATATAATATATCGAATTTCAAGATATCTTCAATATTATATGTGCATACCGAGAATATATTTTAGAGGTTGATGTCGTATTTAACATAAAAATCAATCCCAAAGTTGATTACTTTTTAGAAACCCAAATTTACCCAACGGTCCCAACAAATAACATTGATATCCAAGCATAAAGATTCAACCCTGAACTCCCAGTGCTGTTTTTCTGACCGCAATTATGGCTTTGCAACACGAAAACAAATGATAAGTGACTCCCGCGGAGGCTGGAGAAATGGGTGCGATGGGTGGGTGGGTATGCACACACACACGACACACACACAGCATCTATTTATAGCCGCTTAATTAAAGTTGTTAGTCGCGGCAGCTGAGTGTGACGCAACTGGAAGTAGTCACCTTGCCAGCTTCGCATTTACTATCTTGATGGATTCATGGCACTCAGCGCACAATATACAATCAGTTCAGTTCAGTTCTTTTCTTCACTTTAATAAATTAGATTAATCTACGGTTACAGAGTCTAAAAATGGCAAGCTATTTGAGCACAGGCCTCTTCTGGAAGCCAAACATGCTGAGCTTAGTTTGATTGTCGCTCACGGCGCCCAGCTTGCCGTTTGTCTTGGTCTTGGGTGTACCCTTTTTGTTGGCAGTGATCGAGGGCTTGCTGAGGCCCACTCTTCTCCTGCCCAATGGCAGGGAATTCTGGCGTTGCAGGATAATGGAGGATGAGGCTGAGGAGGCTGCCTCCTGGCTGCTGGATGGATTCAACTCAGAACTGCAGCTGTCGTCGGAGAGCAGGATGATTGCCTCGTTGTTATTGCTATCGGAATCGGCGGGATCAACCAGTAGATCAAGTGGTTTCATACGTATTTTTGTGCCAGTCTTTGTGTCTGCTTTAGGTGTTTCTATCAGAGTATTTGCCGACTCTTCAATGGCAGGATTGTCTTTAGCTTCAGTTTTTGTTCGCGTCTCGCTGTCTGGTGAATTGGAACATTGTCTTTCTTGAGTGTCTTCTACTGAAAGTCTTAACTTCTTGTGGCTAGAACTTGCGCTTAGTTTTATATCCTCGTCTTTATCCTCTTCTTGCTGGCTTGCCTGCTTCTTTGACAGCCTTGTCTGTTGCTCAGCTTGTGTGGAAAAGAAACGACTTCGCACCTCAACGGACTCCTTGGAAAATATGCTTCTCTTCAGGGAGTTTACCCGCTTCTCATCCGTTCCCTCTCCCAAGGGACTCGCCTTCTTGGGACTGAGTAGACGGAGCAGGGAGGCATTCTCGCACACCACCGGCGATCGCTGGAGGGGATCTTGTGCAGAGCGCTCTTTGGCAAAGGGATTGTGTCGGCTTCGGGTCTGGATCGGAGAAGGCGGTGGTGTTGCCTCTCTGTCCAGAGAACCCTCCCTGCTAGGACTCCGCCTTCGTTTCGCCTTAAAACTATACATGGTAAATACCTGAGCCTCCGTTTTCTTGGCTTCCTCCAAGCGCTGATTCGTCTCGATCTCTTCGTCCACAGTCTTGCTCACAAAGTCCACCTTTTTAAAGAACAAGGCACACGTAGCTCCCTCCTTTTTCGCTATGATGCACTGCTCGTCCTTTTCGACTTTCCTTCCCAAATGCTCTTGTGCTTGGCCCGCTTTATATTCTTTGAAGATGGCGGCGGTGCTGCCTTCTCCGGTGTCCAGCTGTCCAGTCGCTTCAGTGAGAAGGGATTTAGGTTGCCAAGAGCCAAGTGCAATGCCTGATCGCTATCCTCCAGCAAGATACCAGCATTGCTGCAATAGCGCTCATCGGTGTCATAATCTCTAGTGGCAAAGTCGCTCCATGCGACGCTGCAGAGGATTGTAGACGTACATATGCTTGAAAGTGGCCTCCGCCTTGAGGAAATTCTCAATGTAGTCGTCGTCCACCTGAATGGAAAAGGGGTACTCTTAGATTTTGGATACGGCCCTGCAGTTGCCACACAGTACTCACCTCCAGATTTCGCATGTTGAGGTAACTCGGTATCTTCTTCAATGCTATCCGCATATCGTCCTGTTCCGTTTTAAGGATGAATTTGCAGGCCTTGGCCAGTCCAATGCCGGCAGGGAGTCCAGGTAGTCACAGCCGGATAAGATGCACATGCGACGGAACTTGTCAAAGTGGTATTTTTCTCCCGACACCCCATGGCCAGGTGCAGCTTGTCCGCCTCCACTAGCAGCCCAGTGCCATTTAAATCCAACTTAAAGATGATCTTCTTAGCACCGAAGAGCGTCAAATCTGAGTCCTCGGTGATGATGTACTGTGCCACATCCATCTTATTGAGCCAAGCCATCTGGGCATCCGCTTCGTACGGCGCCACAATGCAATCCACGTTCCTGCTGCGGCACTCACGGATCAACCGTAGCGCCATGTCATGGGTGACGTCCACGCAGCGACGCATATGCGAACGGGCCTCCTCGATGCGTCCCAGTCGCAATAGTTCCGCAGCACGCTCCTTGCTCTGTTTCCTCGACTCCCGACGTCGCTTCTCAGTTAGGGCCTTGGCAGGCAGATGCTGTCCGTCGAAGACCAGAATCGGCTTGATGTCGTACGAGAGCAGCATCTGGACGTATTTGAGGCAGTACTGGACGTATATATCCGTGTCCTCGCCGCGGGCCAACTTTTCAGCGCAACCAAAAACTCCCTTGTGCAGCCAACAATAGGTGTCCACGGCCACCGTGCTGCCGCGGATATTCTTCAGTTGCAACGGTGTGAGGCCTTGCCAACGAAGGGGATTAGGCCGGTAATGCCCATGTTGCGAAAATATTAACAACAATCAAAACATAAAGAAAAACACGGACACAATGAATAATGCTGCTTTTAGCGCCAAAAATTGCCGAAGTGTGGCAAAGCGCGCAACGGCGTAGTCCCTCACATTGCCATTCACACAGAATTACTTTCTAGTTATATTTACTCACACTGGCTTTCAAATGTTTGAAAATTTTAATTATTTAATGCAAATAAAATAATGCACTATAAAACTAGTTATCTAAACTTAAAAAACACTGTACTTAAGTTAATATATCATAAATTATTATTATTTTTTTTAATGTCATTTTCAGAAAGTTTTTATAAACGTTTCTGCACTTCGTTAAAAACAAGTTTAAGAAAATTAAAAAGTGATTATTTTTAAGTAATTAAAAATTAAAAACCTTTCTTGCAGCAACGTCAAAAACCCCCTTATTGTCTCCCATTGCCCAAATGGCTACGTCCTCAAAATCCTGAACTCGCTGGACTCCAAAAAGAGGACTTTGTGGATGCTCAGAATCAGTTGCTGCTCAGTCTGGGTAAATAAACCCCACATTTTTGGGAATTAAATTTAATATTTTTTTATTTATTAGCAAAACAGAGTGTCAAGTGTCCCCGGCCAATAGCCAATGCCAGTGGCAAGTACTATTCGGTGGAGCGCCTCAATGGTAACTCGAATGTGGTGCGACTCCTGGAATTCATTCCAGGAGAGATCTTTCACCAGGCACCATTACGAAGCATTTGCTATATCGCAGCGGCGAGTATTTGGCCAGATTAGATCGATCTTTGAAAAGCTTCACCCACCAGGCCTACGAAACGCACAAAACGATGTGGATGCTGCAGAGTGTACCGGACTTGAGGCAGTTCCTGTATGCGGTGAAGGACGAGGAGCGCCGACTGATCTGCGAGGAAGTAATCGATGCCTTCGAAGCCAAGGTTCTAAGTCTGCTTCCGACTCTGGAGCACCAGATCATCCACGGCGACTTTAACGAACAAAACATTGTGGTGGAGCAGTCGCCCAACCAAGGTGGCGGAGAGTACACCATCAAGGGAGTGATTGATTTCGGAGACACGAGCAAATCTCCGCTACTCTTCGAGGTGGGCATCGCCCTTACCTACATGATCCTGCAGGCCAAAGATCTGGCCAGCGGAGGAGTCTTCCTGGCCGGCTATACCAGCGGTATTCCTCTTGGCAGCACCGAACTGGGTCTTCTCAAATACTGTGTCGCCGCCCGCTAGTCCAGAGCTTGGTCATGGGTCTCTACACGCACACCCTACATCCCAATAACGACTATCTGCTGGTTACCCAGGAGCAGGGCTGGACGCTGCTCCAGAAGCTTTGGCGCGAGACCTTGGAGAATGTGGATGAGTTGTGGGCCACCACCGGTCACCAGTACTTGACGCAGAGCAATAAATAAAATCAAAATTCCCGGGCCTGTTTCGATTTTCTGAAAAAAAAACGCAATCAAGTTTAAATGGATTGCATTATTCGTTAGAAAAGTAATAAGTATTATTAAAAGTCCAGTTTTTTTACGAATGTAAAAGTTCTGTAAATAATTAAATGTGTGTGTGCAGCTACAAATTTGGTCCACTACAAAAAACCAGATAACTTTAACAGAAATTCAAAGAGGCCCTCTTTGGAAAGCTATTCAAGAACCAATTGTCAATTATAAATAGAATATCAAAATCAATCATATCTCCTATTTAGGATTTGAAGTTAACATCGATATTTGAGACGAAAGTCAATTTATAAATATATATATTACCGGGGCGATATTCTTTGTGTTATATCGGACCAATATTATCGAAAAAGACAAATAAATTAACAGACATTTTTCTGATATGATTTAGAAACCAAAATTTTAACGTTAAATCCGATAAAAATAAATTATATTTTCGATATGATATTAAGTGCGATGTATCATATCGTATTATTCACTACTCTGCAGAATAAAAACAGAAACAAAAAGAGTTACAAGTATTGATTGCATTTGTTTTTAAATATTACTTTATCCGGTATATTATTATTATCTTTATCATTTACAATAAAACTTGTTAAACAAATACAAATACATTGTATGTAGTACATTTTCTTTGCTTAGATTTAGATTTAGTGGTAGGTGATCTTTTAGTTTTTGGGCTCTACAAGTGGTGCAATTAATTTCAAATCTCGACACTCTCAGCTAAAGAAGCTGCCTTTAAATTGAACTAATTAACGCTAATTACATTGAATGGGTGTAAAAGGGTCCGCACATCCTGCTGGCCAAATATACAAAGTATCATCGTAGGGTTTTCGAGGATCTATCCGCTTACTACTTAAGACTAGACTTAACACCTACTGAAATGTACAAAAGAAGGCGCCACGCCACTCTCGGATACGCTGGTAGGCGGTGCGCTTCTCCTTATCAAGACAGAGCAGGAGGTCGAAACAGAAGACGCGCTGCTATATAAACATATATGTGTATATATAATATAATATAAGGTGCCAACAGTGTTTACAGCTTGGGAATCAAGTTTATTTATTTTGTAATTCTGGTTACGACTGTTTCTTCGCTTCTTTCTTTCCTTTTTTTTTGGTACAAAATGAAACAGGGTTTAAAAGAAGTCAATGAAATAAAACAATATGTTAAATATACATTTAAAAAATCCCGACGCCTCTAGGCCCACAACAAGCGACTGAACTCACTCGCACACACAATTTTTACACACAAAAGCTCAAAAAAAAAAAAAGAAAAATATATCATCAGAGATTTATACCTGAGAGTAACACACGCGTCGTCGCCTGGGGGCTTAGGACGTCTCGGCACGAACGACAATAACATAGTATAAATAAAGACAAAAAAATATATGTTTAATACAAGCTAGAAAAAAAAGATTTAAAAATAAAAGTCTACGAATTTCATTTTGTTAGGCCAAAGGAACAGCCCGTTATTATATATCCTTTCTGGGTTTTGTTTATCACTTCAGTGCGGCCAATCGATCTTAAATTTGATAAAGCAGATAAAGCTGAGATGTTGGATTAACCGATCTAACTTAGCAACTGGTTTTGTTTACAGTTTTTAATGATTAACAAGCTGAAATGGGAAACAATTTAGAACTTTCCCTTTGATAGCCAACTAAATTTGAAAACTCAATCTCAATGCCAGGTCAGGCGACGGATATCAAGGACAACTCTCTCAGCTTAGGTGCGTTTGGTAATCTTTAGATAATTCTAGGTTTGTCACTTGCAATTTTCTATAGGGTTCCTTAAAGAAAAGTGAAAAATAAAAACAAAGGTATAAGCCGATTTAAGTTAATAGATTTGAACTTAAAACTCTAGACAAAAAGAAAGCTAATTCCTTGGTCATTACAAACAATTACATTTACTTTAAGCTTAATTCTGATGAAAACAAAAGTTCAGACGGAGCAATGCACGAAAAAAATAAACAAAACAATTTGAAGTAAAGAAAGCGACTTCTATGGAATTTAAAAACACAAGCTCTAGTTACCAAATGAAAATAATATGATCATTAATCACTATTGCACCTTAATTGAATTGCACTGTTTTGGATGATCTATACATATATATATGTATATAAACTTGACATCACCTGGCCTGGATTGACAATGATTCCTAGAATGGCTTTATCGTTAACTCTGGGGGCCTTCACTCTTTTAAATATTTCGCAAGCAATAGTCACTTGCCTAAAAAGAAGCAATAGAAAAAACACAACGTAGTCCTCCGTCCTGCAATCCGTCAACTCAGCTCCCATAGAAGGAGACGTTCCCCCTGATTGTACCATTTGGCGGCTAACGGCGCCTCGGACGCTTGCGCCGCTTAAGGAACACGTACGAGGAGTTCTTCTCCTGATGCCTGGCCTCTGCCGGCGTGGTGGGTAGCTTTTTGCTGGCCAACGTTGCCACCGGCGCTGCCTGCGCCTTCGACTTGGCAATGGAGGTTAACGCTTGACGAGCATCGATCCAAGGCAGGCTAAAGTCGTCACGTGCCTCCATGTTGACCATATTCTCGCCAAAGGCCTGTACCGGTACCTCGGTGACGAACTGAATGCCCTCGATGTCCTCTGGCAGCGGGTAGAATGTGGACGTGGGCAGCGGATCCAGCGAGACAAGCACTTCGTCCTGGTTGTGGCGCATGCGAAGGGTCTCGATCCGCACCTGTTCCTTCATGTAGCGCGCATCCCGGCACTTGCGATCAATCTCGTCTTTCACATACTTGCTATGACGACGCTCGAAGTCCGCATCGCTCAGCGGTTCCGTCTTTCGTTTATCCGAACTGGGCGTAACGGGCACATCGCGCCATTTGGGTATCTCCAGGCTGGGATTGTCCGCTAACAGCTCGTCGGCCTCTTCCAAGAAGAACTCGTTATCGCAGTGGAACTCCTGATCCTCCCACGAGCGGGTCGTGTACGGAAAGGTGGCAGTACGGAAACGGGACTTGGACCTGCCCGATCTTGCCGTGGCTTTGCTGTACGTATGCGGGGCAGAGTTGTTGTTGGTCACAACCGTCTCCTTTCTGGTTGGTGCCGATGAGGAATTACTGCTGCTCACGCTGCTCATGGATTGCGGGGTCAGTGGAGCTGCTGCTGCTGCTGTTGTCGTTTGGATTTCGACTTGGTCGAAGGACTGGCAATCGGCTCTGACTGGATGAGGATGTGGGTGTTGGCTGGGGCGTAGATGTTGGCGTCGACGAAGGCGTTGTCGTGGGCGTCGGAGCAGGTGTGATTGTGGGTGGTGCTGTGGGCGGAAAGATCAGATTTGTTGTGGCGCTCTCCTTGCTTGGCTTCTGCTTCATGCTTTGACTCTGGCGGCGTTGCTCCTTGTTTAGATGTTCCAGCAGCCGCAGGCGCAATCTCTCTCCGCGCTCCTCAATGGTCTCCTCGGTGTCGGGGTCCGTGTCTTGATCCTGGTCACGGGACACAGCTTTATCATTTAGCAACGTCAACTTCTTGATCTTCACCTGCGGTTCCTGCAGCTCTTGGTCCTCGCGATGATCGTTGATGATGGCCAAAGCTGATTTCGCTGGCGAAGAGGAAGAGGAGGAGCTACTACTGGTCTTCTTTTCAATAAACATGCCATGCTGTCGGATCTTGACCTGCAGACGATGCTTCTTCACCGGCTCGGTTTGTGTTTTGGTGGACTGATAGTTCGACAAGTTCGTCATATTTTTAACGGGAGAGGATGCATTTATAGCTGCCCCTGTAACCTTGGGAGACGCCACAACGGCCGCTGAATTGGCTTTGGGCAGGGTGGAAGCGGAGACAGGAGGCAGGGCATTCGGTGTGGCAGCCAGTGTCTTGGGAGCAACCGCCTTGAGCGCCAACGCTTTGAGCGCCACTTCCTTAGGAGTCTCCTGAGGTAGCAGCTTCTGCGAAGACTTCAAGTCCATGGAAACTTTTTGCTTCTCCTTTTGAGCCTTCTGATGATCCTTGACTGTTTCTTCTTGCTCCTTGGCTGATGTGTGCTGCTGATCCTTGGGCGCCTTCCGTTCCTTGGATGCCTTCCGTTCCTTAGATGCCTTCCGCTGGTCCTTGGATTCTTTCCGATGTTCCTTGGAGGCCTCCCACTGATCCTTGGAGGCCTCTCGCTCCTTTGAAGTTTTTCGCTCCTTGGATGGGTCCCGCAATTCCTTTGATGCCTTTCGAAGGCCCTTAGGTTCTTCCGGCTCCTTGACCATTACCCGTTGCTTCGTCGAGACTTCTTTATGATCAACTTTTGGTGCTTCCTGCATCTCATTGGATTCCTCCTTTGCTTTTGGCTGCTTAAGCTCTTCTTTCTGCTTCTGGTAGGTTTCTTCCTGCCCTTTGACTACTTTATCCTGCTCCTTGAGTGCCTCCGGCTCCTTAATAGCTGCATCCTTATGCTGCTTAGCTGCCTTAGAATCAAGTTGGGGCTCCATAGCATGCCTGCTGAAGGTCACTACCTCCTCCGTGTGTATTTCAATCTCCATTGTCGCCGACTCTGCTCTGACAACTTCCTCGGTAAAGATCTCCACGGTTTCGACATTCATCTGCTCTACCGTATCCAATTCAAGCTGCACCTCGTTCTCAGCTCTTTCTTCTGATCCAGATCCGGTCTCTTCAGACTCTCCTCTCCTTCCTGCTCTTGCTCCGGTTCGCTATCAACCTCCTGCTGGGACAGCGACTTCTGCCGATGATTCGGCGTGGAGTGAGCGGATGGCGCCATCGGCTTCTCCTCAGCAATTTCCAAGTCCATGGCAGTCATCTGCAACTGAAAGGTTTGCTTGAAATGATCTTTTTGTAGATAAACCTCAAGAGAAAAACTCACCTGACTTGGCCAGAGATCTTCTTCTGGGGCAGAGAGTGCCTCTACATAGTTAACCAGTGGACTATCCACAACCTCCTCGTCCTCCTCTTCGTCGTCACTCTCCTCGTCACTGCTTCCGTCCTCTCTCGAGTCGTCCTGGTCGTCGCTATCGTCATCAGACTCCTCCTCGTCCTCCATATGGCCATTGGCGTCCACGCAGAGTGCATTATCCTCTCCGAGAACCTCCTCCTCTGCTCCCACAATGGTTTCGGCTTCAACCTCTACCTCAACCTCATGGGGTTCCAAAGCATCGTGAAAGATCTCTTCTTCAACAACTTCTTCCACGACATTTTGATCCTGCTCCTGGAGTGACAGCTCAAACGAAAGTGCTCAGCCTTCAGCTGGTGCTGCAGGTGTTCTGCTTCCAACTTCTCCTGCAACTGCAACTGCAGCTGCTCCTCCTCCAGCTTCTGCTGCTGCTGTTCCTCCTCCGTGTGCTGTCTCACCTGACTTTCTTCGTGGACGTCGTACTTGGAGGACGTGAGGCTGGAGTCCTGATTCACGCGATGCAGAAATATAGTGCTCACCTTTTTGCCATTGAACTCGCCGCGGGCTTTGCTTTCCAAGGGCTTGCTGGCTGGGGCAAGATTCGTGGAACCGGCAACCTTATGACCCGTTTTATGTATCAACTGTGCCTCCTCTTCCTCCAGCTCCTCCTCCATCTGCTCCTCCTGCATTCTGATCCTCGGCAGCTGCTCCTGCTGTGGATACGGCTCCTCCATTTGTTGGACCTGCTGGGGAGCGCTCTTCACAAGCTCAGTCTGCGTTTCGGCATGCATGAGAAGCTTCTGCTGCGAGCCAGCGGAGGGTGGCAGTGAGTGATCATCATCGTCGTCGTCATTCGTCCGCTTGTTCTTTTTTCGCAATTGCTTGCGGAGCTCCTCGATGGTGGCCTCCAGCTTCGCGTTGGCCAGCTTCAAGTCCTGATTCTGCACCAGAACCTTGCTTAGCTTTGAATTCTGCTCATCCAGCTCCTTGTCCTTGGCTTCCAAATTGTCCGTCTGCTCCTGCATGAGGTTCAGGTGCAGCATAATCATACGCTTCAGATTGTTGTTTTCCACGATAAGCGTAACTACATCGGTGCTAGCTGTTCCGCCGGACGAGGGCGGTGCCATTGCCCCGCCGCCACTACGCTCTTGGGGCGGCGGTGGCGGCTGTGGCTTGTAGTAGCTACTGGTTCATTCTGGTAGCCACGCTCCTGCGGGGCAGTGGTGGCTTGTAATAGTTTCTAGTTTCCTTCTGGTTGCCATAGCCATGCTGCTGCCGCAAGTAGGTCTTCTTGTTGTGAGGCGGATAGACTGGACCAGCGTGCGGATGCGGATGTGAGTGCTGCTGGTGCAGGTGCGGATTCTTGGGATAGCCCCGCGACGAATTGTGGTGGTAGGGCGGATCCGAGCAGTTGCCCTTCTGGTTGTGCGGCCACTTGAATCGCTTGTCCATGGCGAGGAGTATTAAGGTGCCGTCAGACCTGAGATCTCATAGTTCGCCGCAGTGATCCGTTTGTTTTGTTTTGTTTGCTGCGCCTTTCTTGGCGCTCCGCTATCGCCAGCCACCGCGCTTGACGCTTGCTCTGCTTTGATACGGCGCGATACAATGCGTAGAAGTAGAATCCCGATTCCCACCACACTTAATTTTTCTTTCTCGCCCTCTCACTGGCCTTTTGGCCGAAATTTAGGTCCTTAGCGGCGTGTGCCTGGCGCTACTATTGCACGTGGTGACCACATTTAGCCACCGGATTTTACGGTTCGTTTTGGGGGCCGTGTTTGCACGTTCTTTCACCGCTTTTTCCACGATTATCCGCAAATTGTAAACTCGCCCGAAAAATGCTCTTGGAAGTATGGCGTTTTGGTGGCGTTGCCAGGCCAGCAATAAGCAGGGTTGCATTTCGTGCTTGGGATGGCAGTAGGTCGTGATACTGTTTTAAGCACGCGACTCACGAGCACTAAGTAAATACAAATTATTCAGCACAACTGTACTATTAATTTTTTTTTTAATTTACTTATATTAAAACAATTAAAACTTTTACAAATTATAATATTTAATAAAATTGTACACTTAAGTCAAACATCACAGAATATTAACAGATGGGTACAAATGGTTTGCATAAGTTTGTTGGGCTCATAGAAAGATTAGATTTATTAAATTTTAATAAATATTTCATAATAAATCTATTTAAATAAATTAATTCGTATTATAAAGAAGAAAATTTCCTGATAAATCTATTTAAATAAATTAATTTGTATTTGGGCTTCTAATAACACATATTTATTATTTAGTAACAAACATTATGTAAATATATATATATATTTTTTTATAGGAATTTTTGTAATTTAATAACAAAGTTGTTTTGCCCATAAATAAACTCTTTGAACCTACATCATTAATTTTATCTATGCATTCAGACAAATTCTAAGTTTTTATAAATTGACCTGGGGTTTACTGACAAGCATATTTAGTATTTGTTAAAAATAATCATTTATTTAAAAATTGTAATTTAAAAACAAAATTGTGTTGCTGACAATCAAGCTCTTTCAACCTACGTAATAGATTTCAATAGAATTGAAGCTCCTCGTGTCTGGAAAATCCTTCACGAGTCACGTTCCCACCTCTACAGTCTGCTGCCACCAGTGCAAATGCCGGGCAGTTGAACATGCAACTTTTTTTTTACCACCCACAGATTAAATTATGCATTTTATTACCCAATTAGGCCTTGAAAATTGGCCAGAAATTAGTTATGTAATCAGTTAGTGCAAGAACAAAGCCATTTCCATTCGCCCGTCGGTTGGCAGCGCTAACTTGTGCAAGCGTTGGCTGTGAATGGCGACTGGGAAGAAGCAGAAAATGGCGGCAAAATTTTATTAGATTTCTTTGTTATGGTTTGAGGTTTTTCTGGCGATTTCTGTTGCTTTAATTGTAAACCATGGCATCCTTATTTGGCGACGATGGTGTGGACGATCTGTTTAACGACAACCTGCCAATGGACCAGGATCAGCTCCCCAGCGATGGCGAGGGCGAGAAACTCTTCGCCGACGATGAGGACAACAATGAAAATGCTGGAGAACCCGGAGAAGAAAAAGGCGAGAAAGTCGAACCGAAGAAGCGAGCGGTTCGGAATCCCCGGCCCCGTCTCACTGTGGACACACTGCGTGGTCCCCGCGGCATTCAGACTATTGAGGACTACTATAAAGACATCAAATTTAATGGTCGGGGACATGAGAAAACTGATCTCGACGAGATCTTGCGTCGTCTGCAGCACTGGGGGCATCGGATGTATCCCACCTACACCTTTGACGACGTGCTGAACAACATCGAGAGGCTGGGCAAGAAGAAACCTCTACAAGTGCACATGACTCGATATCGATTGGGCCATTTGGAGGATATGCGCGCCCACGAAGCGGAAGCAATGGAGGACGCCCAGGACGATCAGCTGGACGGCGGAGCCGGGGACGAGCCCTTCGACGAGTTTGATGCCCTGCTGGGCGAACAGATAGCCATGTCGAAGCTGGCTGCACCTCGCACTCCCCATCAGAGGAGCATGTCTACTGCCTCCGTTGGCACCAACAGCACTTTGGTCACTCCATCTTTCTCTCGAGGCAATGCTGTCATGTCCACGCCGTACTCTGCCGCGGGAAATGCTGCTCCCACCTTTGATCGAAATGGAGCTCCCTTAAGTTCAGCACGGTTGACTACTTTGGACATTAGCGATTATGGGCAACCACTGCCTCCTTCGCAGCCTCCAACGCCCTCGGCTAAGAAATTATCCAACGAACAGATGGCCAGGATTGCAGAGAACAGGCGGCTGGCTCAGGAGAGGCTTAAGGCTAAGCAACAGCAGGAGAACGCCAGCTAACTAACTATTAATAAATATATAGCATTTAAGATATTTAAGTCTAAAGGTAAAGAGAACTCTGAATGTACATAAGATTTAAATATAAAGCTTTGGCCTTTGAATTTACTGTTTTATCTTAGTGTTATATTGGTCATTGATTCGGTCGCAAGTCGATGCATCAAGTGTGAATTCTACATGTAACAGAAATTTCGCCCATATCAGTAGGAACTTTCATAAAAGTCAAAACTTAGTATAAATATAGACCATTTTTTTATTAAATCATTTTGAGTCGTTGACTAAGGTAAATAAATTAGGATTCGTCGTTCGTAAGAAGCTACATGCGAGCGTTGTATATACATCTGGATTTGGATATCTTTGCGTGTGATATGGGGCGGTGAGATTTAATACTTAATATTTTTACGTCCTTAAAGGCTAAGCTGGGATACTATTAAGGTACAGGCGCGTATTTGGGGTTTCCTTTTAAGATAGCCCATTCCCTAAGTGCTAAATCTGAGGGCGACAATGGGCAGCGATTCAAACAGGCCCTTGGCTCCCTTCAGCAGAGCTGCTACAATGTTCGTGAGTACCACTTCCTGACTTGGAGCGGATTGCGATTGGGCATCTTGATCCTTTGGATCCGATCTCTCCATGACAGCCTCGTGGATAACATGCAATAGCCGTTGGTACAGGAACGATTGTCTGTAAATTGGTTTTGAGAGGCTCAAGTGGTCATCCTTCATTAAATAGAAGTCTCCGAAATCTATCCGAGCGGATTCCTCGGTGACAATGCGCAGCGGAAACTTGAATGTGGTAAGCATTGTGGGTGTTCCTTCGGCCACGCTGACGACCTTGACATCGCGAAGGAATGTGTGCAGGCAGCCCATGAATCGGCGGTGCATCTCGAGCAATTTTGGCGAGTTCTCCTCCATCTCCTTCACCTCGATGGAGGGCGAGAGTATCATTTGCATGTGCTGCTTCCATTTTGCAATCGGTGAGCCTCTGTGCGGTGTGCCCAGGAACACAATGCCCTTGGTATTCTTGGCCAACTGTTGGACCTTGGGCTCCTGTGAGTCCACAGATTTGAGTAGCATTAGCTTGGTGAGTAGGCCTCCCATGGAATGTCCGATCCAGACGATCGGTCGTCCGTTGCCGACATCTGAGGCAACGATCCGCTCTAGCAGTGTGGTGGCCCTGACATCGATGTGACCCTGGCCCTTCTCACACGGGCAGTATTTGGTGAAATTTGCCGACCACTCTGTGACCGCTGACGTATAATCGATTCCAATAATTCTGGAATCGGGATAGTCATCTGGCAGCCACTCCATTGGCCAGCAGTTGGTGTACTCATCGCTGGTGTCCTGGTTGCGCCACTCGTTGCCCGACACACTGAAGTCGCCAGCACAGTTCTCATTCGCATTGAGAGGCACATCGGGATGGACCACCTCCCAATCGGATTCCAATTCGGCTTCACTTCTTAGCGTCTCCACGAATTCTTTGGTAGCATCATCGCTAATATTCAGGCGCCGTTCCTCCACTTTCTTGCTGGCTTTCAAGACGGGATCTGAAAAAAGATCGAATGTTAAAAGATAGAATTACACCAAGTGCGTCTCTTCGTTTACCTTTGATTGCTTCCGTCTGAGCGTTGTCTTGTGGGGGAACCTGCTGCTTGCGCTGCTTGCCATTCATACGCTTCTGCTCACCAACTAGGAACACATCATCCGCTTCGCTGGTGTAGAAGGCATTTTTACCATAAAGGCCCAGCTCTGTGGGCTGCTTCTTATCGCGCTGCCGCCATGTAATAAACACACCACCCAACAGTCCATGGACGAAGACGATGTCTGCCTTGGGCTTCCTGCGGGTGCGAACACGTGGATGCAGCGGATATACATTCGGCGGATACGTGCACTGATTGGGATCGTCGTGATCTAGATTGGCCATCGTCTTGGCCGAGATCACTTGCAGCCGTAGATCCTGACACTGCTGCCATTCAGCCAGAACTCCAATCCAGCCGGAGGCGAAGAAGTGCTCCACGGCATCAGGCACTACGGATATGTTGGCCAGAACTTTACAAAGGGTCGACAGGGTCTCGTTATCGTCGCTGAATATTTTACGCAGCTCCATGAGGTGCACGAGGCCACCGTCTTTAATAATATTTGCCGAGACTTGGGGATCCTTGCTGATGTGATGCAGGAACGAGATGATTTCCTTAAGTAAATCTGTGTCAGCCGTGGATAGAACAATGGTCTGCTCCTGGGTCATGTATTCGTGGAGGTCCTCCTGTAATCATAATAATAATCTCCGTGTTAAAAAAATGTTTTAGCAAAAGATTTAGCTTCTTACAATTGGATCTTGTTCGGGGAAGTATTTGCTAAAGAAGTGATCCACGCAGGACATGGGTCGCAGCCGGTTGAGCATCAAATGCAGCTCCGACAAAAGCATCTTGGGATTCTTAATGCAACCGTGCCGGTGGACGGGCATAAACCAGCGCGTATCGGCGCCACATCTTGCAAGAGAGACGGCCGTACGGGCATCGCAAATCTGCGCCAAATGTCTAAAGTCCCAGTCCTTGAGGTGATCCATGCAAACAAGCTGCTGCACCGCCTTCAGCCGCTCCGGTTGGGTTCCATTTTGAGCGATGTTTAGGAGACGCCAGGCCACCGAATGCTTGGCCGTCTTCCACCATTTGCCAATGGGATTTATGATCACATTTATCCACTTCTTTTCGTCTTCCTGCTTCTGCATTAGCTTGCGCATAGACTCGCGATAGATGTGATACTTGATGTAGATGTACTCGGAACGCCGCTTATCCGGCTCCGGTGTTTTGGTGTCCACATAGCGAGAAAGGAAACGGCGCACCTGTGGTGACTCGTAGAGCAAGAAACCGGCCCTGAAATTTGAAAGTTAAAGGAAGGTTTTTATATTTTTAAATAATTTAATATATTTATACCATTGCAAGTATCTATGACCAGTAAGTAACTATGATCAAGAAGTATCAATAAGGAGTAGTTAACTCTGATCGATAGATAACTATGATCAGTAAATAACTATGACTAGTACTTAACTAAGATCAGCAAGTAACTCTAAACAATAAGTAACTATGAGCAGTAAGTATCTCTGAACAGTAAGTATCTATATCCAGTAAGTAACTATAATTAGTGAGTATCTATGACCAGTGAGTAACTATGATCAGTAAGTATCTATGACCAGTAAGTAAGTATGGTGCGTTACTAACTTTGAACACTAATAAACAATGACTTGCAACTGTGTAACATAACACATTTCTGAAACTTGGCCGGCAGAAGTCACTTCGTTCCGGGGATGTTAGAACGAGTTGGGAATCATATGCACAAATGTGCGAAATTAGTTTTGGAACAAATTTAAGCTGCTTGAATGAAACTATGAAGTTGTTCTTCAATATAATCTTCTTACTTGTATATAAGTCAAGGCATGGCAAATCGGTGGACTATATATAGATATGTACATACATACAGCTAACATATAAACAATCGGACGATTTATAGAACTATGATCAGTAATTACCTATGACGAGTAATTAACTATGATCAGTAAGTTTCTATGAACATTAAATAACTATGAGCAGTAAGTAACTCTAAACAGTAAGTATCTATGACCAGTAAGTAACTCTGATCAGTTATAATCTATGACGAGTAAGTATGTATGATCAGTTACTAACTTTGAACACTAATCAACAATGACTTGTACTTATTGTGATAGGAAACTTTGATCTAACACACAATAGCCAAAGGTTGGATTTAAACTCAAATTTAATTAGAAACTTATAGTTTCAAAAAGAAGAACAAAAATAATTGTGTTTGCTACGGTGCTTAAGTACACTGGTTGAGAAGCGCAGAGGAGGGCACTTTTCTGAGAGATAGTGAATGCGAGGAAAGTATTATTTTTGAGAGAAAGTAAAAGAGAGGCAAACAAAATTTGGTTTTTGAGAAGCGTAGAAAAGCTCTCATTGTTTATTTTGGAATAATGAGAATTTGAGTTAGTAAAAAATATGTGATAAATCCGTAAATTTGATCAAAAATATAACATACTAACCCTTGGATTTTGTTCTTTTTTAACTATCTATAACCAGTAATTAACTCTGAACACTACGTATCTTTGACCAGTAAGTAACTCTGAACAGTAAGTATCTATGATCAGTAAGTATGGATGAGCAGTTACTAACTTTGAACACTAATGAAGAATGACTTGCAACTGTGTAACACAACACATTTCTGAAACTTGGCCGGCAGAAGTCACTTCGTTCCGGGGATGTTATGCACAAATGTGCGAGATTAGTTTTGGAACAAATTTAAGCTGCTTGAATGAAACTATGAAGTTGTTCTTCAATATAATCTTCTTACTTGTATATAAGTCAAGGCATGGCAAATCGGTGGACTATATATAGATATGTACATACATATAGCTAACATATAAACAATCGGACGATTTATAGAACTATGATCAGTAATTACCTATGACGAGTAATTAACTATGATCAGTAAGTTTCTATGAACATTAAATAACTATGAGCAGTAAGTAACTCTAAACAGTAAGTATCTATGACCAGTAAGTAACTCTGATCAGTTATAATCTATGACGAGTAAGTATGTATGATCAGTTACTAACTTTGAACACTTATCAACAATGACTTGTACTTATTGTGATAGGAAACTTTGATTTAAGACACAATAGCCAAAGGTTGGATTTAAACTCAATTTTAATTAGAAACTTATAGTTTCAAGAAGAAGAACAAAAATAATTGTGTTTGCTACGGTGCTTAAGTACACTGGTTGAGAAGCGCAGAGGAGGGCACTTTCTGAGAGATAGTGAATGCGAGGAAAGTATTATTTTTGAAAGAGAGTAAAAGAGAGGCAACAAATTTGGTTTTTGAGAAGCGTAGGAAAGCTCTCATTGTTTATTTTAGAATAATGAGAATTTAAATTAGTAAAAAATATGTAATAAATCCGTAAAATTGATCAAAAATATAACATACTGACCCTTGGATTTTGTTCTTTTTTAACAATCTATAACTAGAAATTAACTCTGAACACTACGTATCTATGACCAGTAAATAACTCTGAACAGTAAGTATCTATGACCAGTAAGTATGGATGAGCAGTTACTAACTTTGAACACTAATGAACAATGACTTGCAACTGTGTAACACTTCACATTTCTGAAACTGGGCCGGCAGAAGTCACTTCGTTCCGGGGATGTTACGCACAAATGTGCGAGATTAGTTTTGGAACAAATTTAAGCTGCTTGAATGAAACTATGAAGTTGTTCTTCAATATAATCTTCTTACTTGTATATAAGTCAAGGCATGGCAAATCGGTGGACTATATATAGATATGTACATACATATAGCTAACATATAAACAATCGGACGATTTATAGAACTATGATCAGTAATTACCTATGACGAGTAATTAACTATGATCAGTAAGTTTCTATGAACATTAAATAACTATGAGCAGTAAGTAACTCTAAACAGTAAGTATCTATGACCAGTAAGTAACTCTGATCAGTTATAATCTATGACGAGTAAGTATGTATGATCAGTTACTAACTTTGAACACTTATCAACAATGACTTGTACTTATTGTGATAGGAAACTTTGATTTATCACACAATAGCCAAAGGTTGGATTTAAACTCAATTTTAATTAGAAACTTATAGTTTCAAGAAGAAGAACAAAAATAATTGTGTTTGCTACGGTGCTTAAGTACACTGGTTGAGAAGCGCAGAGGAGGGCACTTTTCTGAGAGATAGTGAATGCGAGGAAAGTATTATTTTTGAAAGAGAGTAAAAGAGAGGCAAACAAATTTGGTTTTTGAGAAGCGTAGGAATGCTCTCATTGTTTATTTTGGAATAATGAGAATTTAAATTAGTAAAAAATATGTAATAAATCCGTAAAATTGATCAAAAATATAACATACTGACCCTTGGATTTTGTTCTTTTTTAACAATCTATAACCAGAAATTAACTCTGAACACTACGTATCTATGACCAGTAAGTAACTCTGAACAGGAAGTATCTATGACCAGTAAGTATGGATGAGCAGTTACTAACTTTGAACTCTAATAAACAATGACCTGCAACTTTTTGAACACAACACATGTCTGATACTTGGCCGGCAGAAGTCACTTCGTTCCTAGTCAAATTTAAGAGCAAGCTATTTAAATGAAACTATGGAGTTATTCTTCTATATAATTTTACAAGCTTATAAATCGGAGCATTGCAAGTCGGTGGACTATATATATACATATATATAGCAGACATAGGAACAATCGGACGATATTTAGAACTATGATCAGTAATTAACTATGACCAGTACTTAACTATGATCAGCAAGTAACTCTGAACAGTAAGTATCTATACCCAGTAAGTAACTATAATCAGTGAGTATCTATGACCAGTGAGTAACTATGATCAGTAAGTATCTATGACGAGTGAAACAAATTTAAGAGCAAGCTATTTGAATGAAACTATTGAGTTATTTATCTATATAATTATACTGGTTTATAAGTAGGAGCATGGCGAATCAGTGGACTATATATATACATATATATAGCTGACATACGAACAATCGGACGATTTTTAGTACTATGATCATTAATTAACTCTGAACATTAATTATCTATGACCAGTAATTAACTATGAGCATTAAGGAACTCTGACCAATAAGTATCTATGACCAGAAAGTAAGTATGATCAGTAAGTAAGTATGATCAGTAAGTATCTATAACCAGTGAGTAACTATGATCAGTAAGTATCTATCCACAGTAAGTATCTATATCCAGTAACTAAATCAGTGAGTATCTATAACCAATAAGTAAATATGATCAATAAGTATCTATGACCAGTAAGTAAGTATGATCAGTTGATCAGTTAAGTATTATCAGTTATTGTATAAATTTCCAGTGATCGAATTTCAATCTGCAAAAGTATAGAAACATCGGTGTACCAAAGTTAGCTTCCTTTCTTGTTTTTATAATTAAAAAGTTCTCAGTGCTTTCACGAATTCGATATTATTTAAATGTCTTATCTAAGCATGTCTACTTGTTGTTTTTTTTTTAATAATCATTCTTGAACCAAAACAATTACCGCTGCCAACAATTTGTTATTGGGATAAAAGTGAAATAAACAATTATTTATAGATTTTTATACCATTGTCGGGTTGTATAATTTTAGTCAAAAGCTTGGAAGGAATCATTTCCGACCCCATAAATCATATATGTCATATGTATATTCATGATTAGCATCAACAGGCAAACCGATTTAGCCATCTCTGGCAGAAAAGAAAATTGACGAATAAGTCGCCATATAAAATCAGTAAACCATTCAAAGCTTTATTATAATCGATTTCAATACGATACTATAATTCAATTGCAAACTGGAAACTTCGGCTTCCCGAATCATAACCATTATTTCTTATCAAAAAAGCTTTTAAGTATTTAAATCCCACCTCTTATTTATCAACTTCCGTTTTGTATTTCTCTATCTGGTTGTTCTAGTTTCTTTTTCTTCTTTTTTATTGACCTTAAATAACAACAACAATTATCACTGCCAACTATTTGTTATTGAGATAAACGTGAGATAAACTTGTTGTTGTTTTGAAAAAGTGGGCACGTCACCTCCGAATACAAAAACAAAAACCCAAGTGCCCAACACGCGCCAAACAACAATACTAGAGAATCCGTCGATAAGGAGAGAACTATAAATTCGCGGGGGTTCGCGAGAACGAAATTTAAACTGCGCACTAACATGGCGCCATGATAGTTTTGGCAAACACACCAACACCTCTTCGCTTTTTAGAGTGTATGCGTATTGGGGCCTTGAACAGCTGTTAACGCACACGCCGAACTAGAAGAAGTGAGAGAGTAAAGAAGGAAAACCAACAACAACTCCACAGCCCCCCAAAGCTTGCTATCTCACTTTTACAAAATCGTACGTTTTGTTTTGATCGTGTTGTGCAGAGCAAATAAAATACTAAGCTATGTGGCGGCTTCTTCAACACTATAAAAATGTTAATTAAATTTTGAGTCAAAGTTAAGTAAATTTAATTACTCACTAAAAATCAAAATAATTAACTAAACATATAAATAAGTGTACACTCCTTTCTTTTCCCTTATATGCATGATGTTTTGTTTAAATTTCAATTTTATAAGATTTATTTAATAGTTACTATTATTTTAGATAAACTTGGTAAAGATAAAGAATTCATACGATTTCCTCTTTTTTTAATAATTATCTAGAAGTAAAACGAATTCTCTAGAATTTCCCTTTTTAATCCAACTCCCGTTGTTATCAAGTTTTCTTTCTGGTAAAAAGTTTTTACTAAAAACAAACAAAAACACCTTTCAGTTTATGGCCCCATTTCCAAATAAGTATTTGTGCCTATAGCTTGATTAATCATCGCGTAATTTCTTGTAAACAAATGACGTCACAGGTGGGACAACGCCTGTTTAGTATAAAGAATGCGGAAAACAAGATCTGATGTTGATGTTTTTGTTGTTGCTAATGTTTTTCACGATATTTATAGTATATCTCGAGATATACATAGTATGTAGAATCGTACGACTTATTGTGAGGCCATGTGGCGCCATTAGGAACGTGTTGGGGACGAGCCCCCAAAAAAATTAGGACAGGGCTTTTTCTGTAAGGTTTTTCAGACTTTTAATAGAAGGTCTTTTTTCGCTGTGTGTGTGAGACCTGTAGCAGCTGCTTGAATAACGGGATTTGTTGTGGTTTTCCTTTAAAGAGAGCCAATACATGGCGTGATTTGGATTTACTTACGCGGTCAGCAGGCCCACTCCGCCCAGGCCCACAAGCTTTGGATGACGGCGCAACTGGGATTTGAGATCTTCCAATGACATTGCCCGAATTCTGTTCTAGTTGTTGTTGCTGCTGCTTTTGCGTGGATTCTTCTTGTTTGGCTGCCAAAAGTTTACTCAGTTTCAGAGAGTCACACGTTAAATTTAGACACTTATTGTATCACACTGCCCCTACGAACTTAAATCACTAGGGCGTTTAGTTGCTTTTTAGCTTGCTGGCTGTCACTTGACAAATGTTTATGTTTTTCGCTTTGTTTTGGCTTTGATTTGTGAGCTTTAATTGCTGACCGAACACTACGGGCCGTTCGTTTTTATAAACTTTGACAATAGGTGTGACCGTGTGCACCAGTTTCAAAAACACCTTATATCTCGCACCATTCACAGAGAGACGTACATTTCAATATGTAGTTGATTTCCAATTAACCCTTGGCAATTGCTTAACATTAATTTGATTAACACAAGAGGGAAACGAATTATAAGTAATAATTAATTTAACAACTATTTAATAACTTTAATGAATTTTTTTTACTATTTTAATGTGCCCGGGTTTCAGCATTCACTCCGAAACGCGGGCATGCACAGCTGACTGATAACAAAGGGGAGGAGTGCAGAGTGGCTATTGGCGTGGGGGAGAGATTCTTTTTGGAGTATATTTATTTTGAACCAGAATTTGTTTGCCAGTTTTTAAATGTCGTAGCCCTCAGCAGCTTGCTTGTAAAATGTCCTAGAGTTCGCTTAACACCGCCGCGTTAACCGATTGCTTCGAGTTTTTGTTCTGACGCTGATATTTCGATGGATTTTCACGGCTTTGCACATTTTCCCTGAAACAGACAGCTCGTCGTCGTCGGACATAAATAGCTGAGGGTGCCAGGTGGGGGTGGTGTTATTGGCATTGTCGGCGGTGGTGGTAGAGTGTGGAGCTTTCTCCCCCAGACACTTTGGAGGGAAAACAACATAGCTGCTAGCCAGCGAGCCCCGGAAAAGCAATAAAACCTAATTTCTGCCAGCTCACCGAAAAGGCGCTCGCCCTGTTGGCTAAGATGAAAATCCATTTTCGGGAGCAGTACGGCACGAAGGGTGAGGAAGTCCTCTATGTGACGCCAGCAGGTAAGCAAATCGATCAAACCAGGTTCTAAAATTGTTTGCATACATGAGGGAAAAGGATAATAAGCTTTGAATCTGTCAGTGGTAATTAATCTTGAAAATCAACAAAGCGGAGCCAACGGCGTTCCTATGACAGCTTAAGGCGCTCTTATTTCGACCAAACTTAGAAAGAAAGAAAGAACATTTTGGTTAATTAAATCATATAATAAACTTCCTATTTAATCTTTCCAATCCAGATCAAAGCAACATTGTGAGGGTACCGCTGCGTGGCGATAAGCTAGTCATCCAGGAGAAGTTCCTGCTCTTCCGCCTGCTGCAGAAGATATTTCTTCCCAAAGGCTATCCGGACAGTGTCAGCGAGGACTATGCGGCATATCAGGTTTGGGACACGGCCCAGGCCTTCTGTAGCACAATATGCGGCACGCTGTGCACCCATGCCATCCTGAAAGGCATCGGCGTGGGCAGCGAGAATATAAATGCGTACTCCGCCACAGTTACATGGATCTTGAAGGAGGGCAGCGGCCATGTGGGCCGGATCTTCTTCGCCTGGTGGCAGGGCTCCCAGCTGGATGTGGACTCGAAAAAGTGGCGGCTGCGAGCGGATTTCCTCAATGATCTCGCCATGGGCATCGAGATCTATGTGCTTCCCAAGTATCCGCATCTAAGCACCCAAATCCTATGCGGTTCCACTCTGCTGAAGGCGATTGTGGGCGTTGCTGGAGGAGCAACGAGAGCGGCGCTAACGCAACATCACGCACTGCGTGGAAATCTAGCAGATGTAGCCTCTAAGGACAGTTCCCAAGAGACGTGCGTTAACCTGGTAGCCTCTTTTGTGGGCCTCTACCTCCTTTCGCTGATAAAGAGCCAGACGGTGCTGTACACCATCTTCTACGTGGTGGTCAGCCTGCATCTGTACGCTAATCTTAAGGCTGTACGGGCGGTCTGTCTACGAACATTCAACGAGTCGCGATATTTGATTGCCTTGGAGGAGTTCTTCAGGTCCTCGAGAATGCTCAGTCCTCAGCAGGTGAGTGTACGGATAGAAAGTAGTAATATCTAAACAAAATCAGTTAACAAATTTCAATATTTCCAGGTTAATGCTATGGAACGGGTCACAATCGGACAGACCGTGTCTGTGTCCTTGAACGTCAAGCTAGGCCTGAGCGTTAAGAATCTTATTGATGAGTACAAGAGCAGCAGCGTCATCGACAACATTGTGTCCTCTTTTGATCCCCACGAGCACTTCATTATAGCCGAGACGAAGAGGTATTTGGGCGTCTATCTGCACTTCGATACGCGTCCCCAGGATGTTCTTAAGGCTTACTTCTTTGCGATGTCCTATCTGCGGGATCGGAATCTAATCAAGGAGAAGTACTGGGACATTCAGGCCAAGTGGCAGGAGTTCCTCACGCTGGCCCAACAGGAGGGTAATAATGAATGGTATTCCCACTGAAATGTAGGTGTAATAATACCTTGAAATCACACAGGTTGGATGATCCATCACCATCTGTTACTGGTGGACGAGTTCCGTTTGGACTGGAAGGTGTAGGAGAACGGCTTGACTTTGACCTGAGTTGCTTGTTTGATTTCATTCGCAGGACTTCATTATCACTCCAACACATATCTCACATGAAAACATTGATCTATTAACTAAGTGCTATTGATATTTACCTAGATTTAGCTTTGTGAAACATCTTCCAACTAACTCTGCCTTAGCACAAAGTAATGTTTGTAACCCGTACTCGATAGGATATATTTTAGCCCTGCTTTTTGCCCATGAATTTATCAAGCGATGATATTATTTCAATTACTAGCTGCTACTTTAGGACTAAAAGGGAATCGGAAACGGAAACGTTGACAAAAACAAAAGAATCTATTTTTAAGGACTTATTGTATGATGTAAGCACTTCGATATTTCGAGAGCCTATGTGTACTTTTTAGATTGTAATCAAGGAATAATCTCACAACGAACTGCGGCATTCTCAATACAAACATGTACAAAGTTTCAGGCGTGCAATATTTAGTTAATTATCAGCTTTTAATATCTATGGAATAAGTTTGGCGTCTATTTTAAGCTTACGGCATAATGCTTTCCAATTAATGCAATACATACATACTATATAAGAATTATGTGCATACCGTCTCACCAGCAAAAATGATTTTAAATGAAACCAATGAATAAATAAACACGATTTTATGAAAATGAGTCTATTGATTGGTTTATGAGTTGGTTTAGCCTTTTCAGTTTAATACTATATATGATATTATTATCAATTTTTTGCTCATTAAGATTAATTAATTTACAAAATCTATACGAGATTTAATATAAATAAAAATAAAATTTGTAAGTATGCAAATACTTTTTAAATTATACCCGTCAAAGGTATATTACCATTCGCCTCGAGTCTATGTTTACAATCTTAAGTCTTGTGTGAATGTTCACTTGCAAAGAGGAAGTCTCCACGTGCGCGCACTAAACGTGTTTGTTGTGTAGTTTTGGTTTTTCTTCGATTCTGAGACTTTTAAGTTAAACCTTAAGTCTAATTACGGTTCAATAATAATGGAAATTGAACAGCCGCCGGCTGTGAATGCCACGGCTTCAACTGAAGACCAGAAAACTGGAGAAACGCCTACAAACCTATCAACAGATAAGGTGGAAACAACGCCCCAATCAGGTAAGCTCCCAGCGGTGCTTTTGAGTTTGATAAACAATTAAGAGCTTATTGTTTTGATATAGAAATTGCAGTGGAAATGGAGCAAACAACGGAGGACAAATCGAGCAGTGAGTCAGTGGCTATGGTTCATGGAGAACAGATAAACGATGCCTCAATTTGTGCCGAAGAAAAGATGTCAAAATCTCTTGATAGTGCTCAAGGTGTGCAGCAGGTGGCACAGATGGAATGCGATGCAGCTGCAGGAGTTGTAAATCCCGCACAGAAGCAGGAATCCCCTATGGATTGTCAAGTGTCTGGAGCTCCGGAAACTCCCGCTCTAGAATCTGCAAAGAATCAGGAGAATCCAGAACCTAAAATTCAAATTCCGCAAGTGCAACCTGCTCCAGAGGCTGCTTCTGCCTCTGGCCTCAGCCTACTGGCTGCCTACAGTTCCGACGTCGAGGACTCGGATGTCGAGGAAATCGCCAAAACCCATGACATCGACAATGAAGTCGTTGAAGTTCCATTAACCGACTCTGGCGCCGCATCCACCACCGCCTATCGTCGGCCAGTGGTGGCCGTTAGTTCAGGAAGCGACAGCTCGGACAGCAGCAGCAGTGACTCCGATTCCGACTCGGAGGGCGAGTACCTTACGGTGCTGCGGAAAAAGATAGACAAGCGGATCAACACCGAGGAGTGCGATGAGGAAGACGAGGACGAGGAGGAGGGAGCCACGGGTGATAAATCACGACGCCGTCAGCCGCCCAAGGTCCGCGGCGAAATGCTGCTCGATGAGCTACCGCCCATCCATCAGCTGGAGATCACGGTGCCGGAGGATGAGTGCGTTGAGCTGGGCAAGGTACAATCCATTGTCGATCAACTGGTATTGGTCTCTGTGCTACCCAACTCCCAACTGTTTGATCTGGACACCGTTTTGTTCTTGGAGAAGGGCCGCAAGGTTCTCGGAGAGGTGTTCGACGTGTTGGGTCAGGTTGCAGACCCGCTATACTGCGTCCGTTTCAACAGCAATCAACAGATATTGGACAGAGGCATCAAAATCGGCGATGTGGTGTACTGCGCGCCCAAGACCGAGCATACCCAGTTCGTGATACTCTCGAAACTGATGCAGGTGAGGGGATCGGATGCCTCGTGGGAGCACGATGTGGAGCCTCCGGCCCGTTATGTAGATTACTCCGATGACGAGGAGGAGAGAGAGGCGAGAAACGAACAACGGAAACGTCGCCAGCGGGAGCGCACCGACTCTACGGACTCTGTGGAGACTGTCACCTCGGTAGCCACCACGGCCACAGAGGCGTCTTCAGTGGCGGCGCCTCCGCCGCGGCAGCGTGGACGGCGCGGGCAAAGGGAGAGCTTCCGGCAGAACCAGAGACCTCAGGTCGCTTTTAGGCCAGATCAGAACCAGAATCATAGCCAACAACAGCCAACGGACCAGCAGTATAGCTATCATCCCAGCTATAATCCTGGCAGCTGGCACTCGAACTACTATCACAACTATCATCATCAACCGCCGGCTAACTTCAACATGCCGCCGCCACAGCCGGCGATGCACTTCCCAGTTCCCAACTATGGCTACCCCATGCCCTATGCCGTGCCACCCATGATGCCACCACACATGTACCCGCCGTCTTCAGCCTACGGTCCTCCGCCGCCATCGCATCCGCGTCAGGGACAGCCGGGGCCACCCAGCTAGAGATTGAAAGCGAACCCCCAACTTGTGTGAATTATCTTTATTATTCCAATAAAAAAATGTTTGCTTTAAAAATGTGTATCGGTTTGTTCGATAAAAATGCATGAAGGGTTTCGTTATTAGACTTGTATAAAAAGGTACTTCTTAATCTGTGTGGGATCATTATTAAGTATATATATATACGGTTTACAGGTGTAAATATATATATAGGTATGTTAACTACCGAATAAGTGTATGTGTACTTGGCATTGCTTATTATCGTACAGCTGGAAGCAACTTCAATGTGTGTATATAAATATATGCGCTTGCATTGCTAATCTAAAAAATATATATAAATGTTGTACGTGTGGATTTTGTATATATATTTGGGTTTTAACAACAGTTGCCTATAACTTATGTATATCCTCTCAACTGCTGAGCAACCTCAAAAACATATGTATGTATATACTTTGTTGAATTGAGCTTATTCGAGCAACCAAACAGGTGGACTCCAGGGAAACTGGGAGCTCCACGGCAGGCACGTGAGAATGTGACATATCTCTAAGCTACATATTTACATTTAAAAACAATATTTAGTAAACGAAACAACAGTGCGGCTTAGAGTGGGTTTGTCGTGTGTGATTGTGTGCTTTAAAAACATTTCAAAGTTGAAAAGTAATCTTTTGGAATACTTAAGATGCTCTACTTTACTTCTATTTACTCTAGTTCGTTGTTTATATATATATATTCCAAGAATCGGAATATCTTGTAAACTGTAAACATAAAAAGAGTTCTTCAACATATTAATTAGTACAAGTACTGAATGTTAGCTTCTTACATATTTGGCACGTTAAAGCCTATTCCTTTGATATGTTAGAAACTAAATTAGAATTAAGATTACTTTTCAACTCTAAAACTCTAAATTTCGTGTGATTTTGTACAAAAAGAAAAACCCACTCCAATGCGGGTAATAACAAACAATATTCGCTGCTTGGATTTCTTCCACTCAGGCTCCGTTCCAATCTCTCCATATCCTAACCATTTCCAATCTGATCACGCGGCTTAAGTAGCACCAAAACCGCAGTAATGTTATCCTGCGAATCTCCCTCCTTGGCCGCGTCTATTAGCAGCTTCGGAATATCCTCCAGCTTCGTTGTAGGATCCGCCAGAGACTCGTAAACGGTTTCGATGACTTGAGCCTCCGAAACATGATCCCACAGGCCATCGGTGCCGAGGACAATAAAGTCGTGAGCCTCGTTTAGTTGCACATCCACAAAATCCGGCTCCGCTATTACTGCCTCCAGGCTGTAATCGCCAATTGAACGGGCCACATTGAGGATGCCATTAACGCGCCACTGACCCTGGGCATGGATCACTGTTCCGCCTGCTTTTTCTATTCTCTTGCGCTCATCGGGATTCTCTGGTTTGTGCGGTTTCACCACCTGTAGTTGCGTTCTCTTACCCACCAGCAGGGCCTTGGAATCACCCACCCAGGCGATGCAGAGCTGATCCTTGGCAATCAAAGCGCACACACTAGTCGTGCCGCTGGTGATCTTCTTCTGGGTGAAGCGTTCGTCCGCCAGGAGAAACGCAGACTCAAAGGCGTTCCGATAGAAGTCGGGCGAGGGGTCCGCGTCTACTTTTAGCTGATCTGCAAGCAGCTGAGGCAGCTGGCTGATGGCATAGCTGGCGGACAGGGAGCCCGAGTGACCATCGAAGACTCCAAAGAAGCGCGATTCCTTATCCGGCAACTCGTACATGGCGCCGAATCGCTCCAGACAAACATGTCGATCCTCCATCTTCCTGGGTTTGTTCTTCACAGCGGCGGATGTGTGCATCGCCGGTTTGCCCATCTGGCACAGGCAGTTACGTGGATCCAGACAAAGGGCACCCTCATCGGCGTAGTCCTTCAGACGGTCCATCTCTGCGTTGTCGGTGAGTTTTAAGAGAAACTTCTCCAGCTCGGCACACGCAAACTTTTGCAACTTCAGCAGATCGTACTGTGGCGGCCCCTCGGAATTGATTTCACACTCCTTGGCGCAGCAGAGATCCTGCTCCAGCTGTTGCGTGGAACGGTGAAGCAGCTTCAACCGAAAAACCTCCGGACAGCCGCAGGAGCTGAGCTGCTGCCAAATGGACGAGACCAATTCGGCATGACGCTCCTCGCTGGAAACTTTGTACGTGTCGTTGCTGGCGCGGGTTACACAACTCCTGGTGGCGGTCAGCTCCTCACCGCTTACGGCAGCCGCCTTTTCCGCTGTGGCGGCCAGGAACTGCTTGAATTCCACCAGGTGCGCACATTCCGCGGCGGGATTAGCATCTGTTGACATAATTTCCGCGGTCGCGTGTGCCACTTGTTGTTCTCACTGCCAGTGACGTCGCCCGATCATGTGTGTTAATCAATGTTAATTGTTGCTCAATGATGATTCATTAGCCCGTTTTTTTCTGTGCGTTTTTATGTTGTTATTGTTTGCATTCTTTTATGTTGTTCTGGGAACTGACGTGCTTCGATAGTATCGGCTTCTCACGAAAGCAGGTGAATTTAGGTGGTCTCCACTAGACGCGCTTACACTTTGCTCACCTGACTCTGCATTAGTATCAACATTTATATTTCAGTGATTAAAAAGTTAATGATTTTATATTTATATTAATGATCTTAAATATTTTTCAACTTAAAAAAAAATGAAAAATTAAAATATGTCTCATACATTCAACAAAAATGCTATTGTTTAAGTGTCAACGCTGACTTGCAAGTTGAAACAGGTTAAAATGCGACTGCCTAATATACGGTACTTCGACAGCCGGTTTCCAGCTGATACGTTGTTGCTTTTGTTTTTGTTGCAAAACCATTTTATGATTTTTGTGTTATTTTTGCCAGAAAATGAGCGATTTCTTAAGATAAATTAAAATATATTAACGCAATTAACAATGTCCACGCCTCTGGAGCAACAGACGGACGAACGGGAGGCGTTACAATCGATCTACGAGGGCGATACGAACTTCAAGGAAGTCAACAGCACCACATTTCAGTATAAGGTAAGAGCCGCCACATGGACGAAATGTTAAGCAAGGCGAACTAATAATAATTATACTCGAATTATTTCAGTATGGCGAAGAGGACAACTACAAGACGTTCCTGGTCGAGCTACAGTGGGGCGAAAACTATCCAGACGAGCCACCCACGATAAATATGAACACATTCTACAATAGGAATCTGTAGGTTCTCGTGGGAGTCTGTGTATCCTCTCTCTAATAACATTCCCCACCGCCTATAATCTTCTGATAGACTGCCCGCTGTCAAGGAGGAGATCCAAGCCGCACTGAACACGGAAGCCACTCAATGGCTGGGCTGCGGCATGACCTACACCTTATTCGAGTGCCTCAAGGATAATCTGGAGCAACTAACCGCTGCACAACCCGATTCGGCACCCACCATTAAAGCCGTGGACGATGGTGTGGTGGCTTTAAAGATTTCCGATCCCGATGCCGAGGCGGGGAAAAAGGAGCCCAAGAAGGAGCACCTCACCAAGGCGCAAAAGCGACGTCAATGGGAGCGAACGGATCATAAGGGAGACCGGGCACGTGGCTGGGATTGGGTTGACATAGTCAAGCATTTATCCCAAACGGGCAGTAAGGATGATGCTCCCACAGCCGCCGAAATTGCAGCCGCAGCCGGTCCAGCTTTGCATCCGCTGAACAACTAGCAAACACACAGCCATCTAGGATGAAAAAAAAACACAACGAGGGAACATTAAATCGAAATCAAAAGCAAATCATATTTTAAATCATTCATTTTATCGTTCTATTAAAAGGATTAAAATTACTTTTGAATATAATTTGATGGTTTTGATGACATTGAATTTGTACTCCAGTTTTGCATTGAAATAAGAACAAAGGAAAAGCCAAAGGCATATATATTGATCCTAAATCAGGTTAATATCGTAATAATTATATGCATTTGATTAAAACTATTAGCTTTGGCAAATAATTTCATATTCAAAGTCCTAAGTCACTAATAAGATGACTAATCAACCGTACTTGATTCGTAGTTTAGCAAACTATTATTGACGTGTGCTTTGCATTATTTGTAACAAAAGATACATACGTCAGATTGGTAATTGCAGATAAGAACTATTTACCATATCCGTGTACTTAAAAAATAGATACTGACAATAAATTAGTCACCGATATTTACCTTGAAAAGTTTCTCCAATTGTTTAAAAAATTAAATTGTTTGCATTTATTTTATCTGACTTTTAAGCACATTTTCTGGGAAACTTTATTGACAATCGTAATAGCTGAGTACATTTTGGTAATAAAATCATAGTTCAATACAAAAATAAAGATCAAATCGTTATAATACGGTATTTTTTTTTTTTTCCTTTTTTTTCGTTTTGCGAAATCAACTTTGACAAGGATAACTAGCGATAAAAACGTGATTTTTCAATTTCCGTCATACGGCAAATGGCTGTCTTAGCATTTAATTGAATACTCCATCGGCCCTGACATTAGGGCGTCCAAAGGGAGCCCATGGGCGTTGCAGGACCAAAGCTTTCAATGGAGTTGGCCAGCTTGTTCTTAATGTTGCGCAGGCGCAGTGAGGCGTGAATGAAGGTCACCGAAATGGGCAGCAGCAGGGTGAAGGCCGTTAGCAGGACAGCGCTGATCAGATGCAGGAAAAGGTAGCCGCCAAGCAGAGCACCGGCCAGGATGTACCACTTTTGCTGGGCATTCTGCTCCGCAGCGTTGGCATTTCCGCCCGTCAACCGGCTGGCAATAAAGTTGGACTTTGACTTGCCACTGAAGAACTGCCAGATCACGGCTATGACAGAGCCTGCACCAGCAGACCGCTGACGATCTTGGCTGGGTTGAAGATTACCATCACGACGTAATGGTGAGGAAGAGCAGAAAGTAGTTGGTTTGATAGTACAACAGATTCTTCACCACCCGGTTACCCCACTTCTCGAATCCTTAAGATTGGGCAGCTGGAAACGGGCCGATCCCAAGATGAAGTCATCGAGCGAGCGGAGCGGGGGCAGCTGAAGATTGCCGGAAGGGCGGCCGCAGCATCGCCCACAGAGGATGTCGAGGGTGCCGCCGACATGGTCTTTGCGTTCTTCTGGGTGCTCTTCGGTTGCCTCTCCACCGGGAACAGTTTCTGGTAGCTGGGTTGACGTAGGCCGCGTGCGACGTTCCGGATTCCTCCGAGTTAAACAGATTAGAAGTCAACTGGCGTATCTTGGGCCGCAGGCCCGAGTTTTCCGATTTCCCGCTCTTTCGTGGTAGCAGACGTGTCCGCTCGTCAGTGGTAATCCAGTCGTAGGTGTCTTCGTGGTCACTAAACTCCTCCGATCCCAGAAATTCCAGCGTAAATTTATATATATTTCTTTTTCTTTACACGAACTCAATGTTAGTCAGCGAAACAGTGTGACCAGCTGAACAGTTTTTACTTAGTGAGCGGACCGCGGCAACGATATATCGATGCTAAAAGATAAAATGTTTCCACTACAACAGCATTGGCTATAGCATCTAAAATTTAAAAATCACCGAAATTTTAAATAATTATGAAAACTATCTAAAATTACTCAAATATAAAAAAAATACATTTCCTATTAATTCTGTTCTTTGAAGATGCGTATTTCTTCACACTTAAAATCGTTCAACTTCAATGCTGAAACCCTTCAAATGTTCTAGTAAATTCATGCGAAACCTGCAAAAGTAATTTTAGTGTTTCTTTTAATAATATTTAACTATTTTAATTTATTTATAATTAACATAAAGCCTGCTACTTTCAACTTCAATGCCGAAGCCCTTCTAATGTTCTAATAATTCATCGAAATCGACAAAAGTAATTTTCAGTGTTCTTTTAATAATATTTTAACTATTTAAAATAATTTATAATTAACATAAGGCCTGTTATTTTAAGCAATCTTTAAAGAGTTTTAAAAAAATTTACATGGATCTCATATTTATTATTTTATTGCACTGAATATTACAGTCTTCTGTGATTTAAACATTTAAATAAAAAAGTAATCCTCTTTTAATTTTTAACACAAATTGGTAATTATTTTTAATATACAGCGACCTAATTGTTAGTGTTCTGTTAAAAAGGACAACGTTTTCTTAAAAAAAGCCACTGGTAAAACTGTCGCATTGTTTCCGAAAATAACTATTAATTTTAATTAATTAATTTTTTGATATAATAATAATAAGTCAGTTTTGTATATTTTTGTTTGTTTTCCCAAAAATAATCCATATGGCTAAAGACATTTAAAACAAACTACTAATAGTTAGTACTTAATGTTATAGCGCCGTTGCTTACAAATGAATATTCATAACTTCAATTTATTCAATTCTCGACCACATTCATATTATATATTCAAACTCTTTATAAAACAATAAGACTCTGGCTCTATTTTGATTAAATAGACGGAAGTATAAGTACAGCTAACATAACAAAATTGCTTAATTGTGAAGGGAAACGGAAAGAACTAAATCTGGAAAGAATTTTTACTTAGCAGGAGCATCGGGTGGGTGGTGGCAGAGGTCAGGGGTCATAGATTACAAGAGAGAATCAACCTAAGCATTGTTAAACAATTATTTATATATTAATATTCATGATTAAATTAGGAATAGTTTCATTTTGTTTATCCTCCGACTTGGACGTTGTTGGACTACGACTACTTAAAACTTGGTTCAAGTTTTGGTAATGCGTTGCAGCTGGTAACACGATGCTTGAATCTAACATTTGGTAGGTGGTGCTAGCTTGGTTACGCTTCCAGATCGTTGACGAACAGCACCTCGCGGTTCTTGAGCCCACGTCATGGAGGGTCTTGTTCAGCGCATCGTTGGCGGCGCCCTCGGCGGTGTCCACGTCAGCCTTCGAGTAAAGCACCCTTTTCGGGAAATTCGTTGTGATCTCGAATTCATCCGGCGAATCGGGATGGCAGAAGAGATAGTGATAAACGTCCTTTGGGAGGGAAAGAGTAGATGTGAATATATTTAAATAGTGACTCGTTACTTGATAAGCAACTTACCTGCACCGAATCCGTCTGATTGAAACGCCGTTCGAGTCGCGTACCACTGGGCAGCTTAAACACGACGGCAATAGCGCCACAGTATCCACTGGCGGCTCCGATGGCACTAGCGTCGCTAGCTCGATCTTTAGCCGAGCAATTTCCTCTTTTCTCAGCTCCACATCACGTCGCGCTTGCTCCTCAGCCTCCTCCGCCTGTCGCACTGCATCCCGTTCTCTCTGTCGCTGACGCTCCTTCTCCTCGTCCGCCAGCAAACTCTGCTCGTAGGCCTCGTCCTGCTGCCGCCTCAGTGTCTGTGTGAAGTTGCGCTCCAAACGATCCGCACGTGCTTGACTCAGCCACACTTCATTGGCAGCCGTCACCGATTGGAAGCGACGCAGCAGCTCCTCCGGCGTACAATCTCCCTCGAAACGTCCCACGATCATCATTCGATTCGCCCGTAGGCTGATCATCACCATCAGCGGGTAGCTCCTTACCGTAATCGACTGCATCACCCGGTAGCCTCTGGCGTGGCCACATCGCAGCCCCACAGCAGGGTGTTTGTGTTGATATAGTCAATGACTGAGCGGGAGGAGAGTGTGTTGCGGCAGAATGAGTCCACGTCGGGGTTCTTGGCGGGATCCTTGTGCAGATAGACGATGAGGAAGCGCAGCTCCTGCTTGGCATCGTTCAGAGCCTGGGCATAGGTGCCCTGGTAGAAGACCGGATGCTCAGGATAGCGCTCGTAGTAGTCCCTGATGAACTTCATCACGTCCCCAAGCGGATCCGTGACCAATCGCGGCTCATTGCCACCGCCCAAGTTTACAAATGCGCTTACAATGCTCGTCAGCGTAGAGTAGAAGTACTGGAACACGAAATTGATCACGTAGCCCAGGATTCCGGTGAAGCTGCGGGGTATGGGGCCACTGGGCACCCTGCTCACTGTCCGTCCGCCGGGCATGTTGGCGGAGAACACCTGCTGCAGGAAGCGGTCATTGATCACAGCGGGCGCTCGCACGTCCGTGGAGGCGGCGAACATAGTGGGTCGGCCTTCGCGGATATTTAGTTGCTCCTGGAAGGCCACCTGGAAAGACAAATATTTAATTACTAATTCAAATCAACAAAGATAATTAAATGGATTATTTTCCAGAAGTGGCGAGGCATGACCTCTTAGACGGACCGCCACTGTAAGTGCATTCTACGCTCACTGCCGTGACTGTGTCGTGTGCATACATATGTTTGCCGCTCGTACCTCGAGATCCCATTGATGTCTGATAAGGACGTCGCGGCACACGTTCATATCCTCGATGCCGGTAAGATCCTGGAACTGGAGCACCTTCTCCGTTTGGTCGTTTGTTAGTCCATCCGCCTCCATTTTTCCAGCAGGTGATGTTGGCCTCCGTTCGTCGTATTTGTTGTTGCTTTCTACGCCGTACGAGGGTGTGTGAATGTGTGTCTGTGTGTGTGTGTGTGTGTGTGTGTGTGTGTGTGTGTACGACTGTTGTAGCTGGCCTTTGTCCAGTGGCTCTCCTGCCCGTCACAGCGTGGGAAATTGGGGGAATAAGTTGCGTGGTCACTAAATGCTAAAGATCCAGACTCATTTCAACGCACTCCAAAACAGGCGGACTATATATTTTTTATCATTTCTCGGCAATTTATTTCTTTTTGCAGGTGATTGGTCGCTGCTCTGCTTCTTGTTTTTTTGCCACTAAAAGTTATCGGAATCGATTTCGTTGTGAATGGCAAAACTCGCCGTCGCGTTCACACTGATTCCAAAGCGGCACCAAATGTATCTGCTTAAATACCACGAACAGTCTACTTTTCCTTTATTTTTCGAAAACCTTTGCGGATTTAAATTGGAAATTTTTAAAGCGAGAAATATTTACAAATATAGGAATTACATTGTTGAAATTGACAGAGTTTTCAACGTGTAATTGTATATTTAATATTTTCATATTTCACGACTAAAATATTAGCTCTGCCCCGTTCTTAACATATTATCGGAGAACTTTATAATCTAGAGTATGGTTAAGTCCCATAATCTTTTTGGAAAATATTTATAAAAACGTTAATTAACAGCAGAGCAAATTCCGGCTAGAAAAAAGTGGAAACCTCTTAATCGCTTTATCGTCGATTGATTTTGGTATTTTATCGAAAAAAGCTGCGGGCACACTGCACCAAATCTATCATCAGACACTGACTGTCATTTCAAATTCAAAATTCTTGAATAAATCAAAATGCATTTGATTTCCACTTCCAAGAAAACTGTGCTCTCTGACTTTGCGGACCTCGAGACAAAGTCCGAATATGCACATGCTGGTGGTGAACCGAGGGACTTTCAGTTCAATGGCCAGGGACGCGTTTTTGTCGAGGTGGATAAAATGGCGGGCTTGGCGGTGATGCGGATAAAGGAGAACGAGGAGAAGAGTAAGTTGGGATTAGGAAAGCTAGTAATGAATTGACAATAATTCTATATCATCAACAGCAGGTCCCGAGATTCAGCGAGTCCGCAAGCTCACCATTGACAATGCCTACTGTGTGGCCTGCGCCAAGCAAACGCTCGAAGAGATTGCGTGGCCAGAGCGGCAGCATTAAGATCTACAACATACGGACAGCACAGCTGATCATAGGTTTCCTGCGGATCCGCAGCGCAGCACGTTCTCTACATGGACTACAACAGCACGGATGAGTATATAGCCGCGTGCGCGAGGGCGGCAGCATCAATATCCTCGGCACCAAGACCAAGCTCAAGATGAACACCTTCACCATCGATGGCGAGTAAGTGCGTGATCGTTATTACTAAGACAGAAACTATCGGTCATTGCAGCTCCACCCTGGTACGCTTCCATCCCAGCAAGCGCTTCCAGCTCTCGATTGCTTCGTATAAGGGAGCCGTAACCGTGTACGATGTCCAGGGCAAGAGGAAAATCTTCCATGCCAGCGAGGCGCACAGCGCTCCCTGCCGGACATCAGCATGTGCTCATCCCAGCCTGCGCTGCTGGTCAGTGTGGGCTATGATTGCAAGATCAATATCTTCGATATACGACGAAATAGAGCGCAGGCTTCGACAGATCGCCTAAGCTACTCCCATCCCCTGTCCACGGTGGCGCTCAGTGAGTGCGGCACTTACTTCTGTGCCGGCAATCTCAAGGGTGAGCTAATTGCCTACGATATGAGGAGCACCAAGGCGCCGTTGGCCGTGAAAAAGGTTCACGATGGCGCTGTGACCCGTGTGGCTTTTGTTCCTCTATCCAGCGAGGATAATCCGCAAATCGGTGGTCTAAATAACTCAGGAGGTCTTAGTGCCCTGGCGCAAGATACTCCTCGCGTAGAGCGTGCCCCCAGTGATGAGCTTCGCAAATCCATTGCGGCAAATCTGCTGACCACGCAGCAGCAGCTGAACAACATGGCAAGCATGGGCTATGGCATGGTTACGCCGGTTAATACCGGACCGCGACGGGATTCGTTCTGTGACTTCCTGGATGCCCAGGGTCCGAGGGCAGTGGATCGCATGTCCACACGGTTCAGCACTTCTCACAGGGACAGCTTCGATTGGGAGACCCTCAACCGCAGGTCCAATCCCAATGAAACTGCCCAGCATCAGAGTATGAGTGCAGGAGGAGGAGGAGGAGGATCTGTGCCCAGCTCGGTCGAGAGCTCGTGCAACAACACTACAGCGGAGTCACTGCAGCGTATGTGGAGATTAATTCTATATCGAAACTTTTGTGAACTTTATTCTCTTGCAGAGACCTTAAGCGGTCCCCTTAAGGATCGCAGCAACCACTCCGGCGAGGTGAAGCTTATGAAGATTGCCGAGACCGATGAGCATGGCGAGGATCAGTCATCTCATGTTTCCGTGACCAGCAGCCCAGGCACTGGCAGCGACAAGGAGAATCCTCCGCTTCCAGTGGACGCGGATATGCAACAAAGGCTGCGCCTGCTCTCCTCCAGCCGTAATAGCACACCGCATCATGCCAATGTCACTCCACAGTCCTCGAATACCGACTTGAAGCCACAACAGCTGCTGGCCAAATCTTCCAGCGGTCTATCCTCTGTGCAAATGGATGGCGTCGATTGGCGCAAGGAGATAAGCGAACTAAAGGAATTTGTCGACGAACGCTGCGGCTATGTGGAACGCGAATTGGAATATATAGCAAACTGGAACCATCGGCAGATGGTCAACCATTTGGCCAACTATTCGAAGCAACAGCTGCAGAATACGCAGGACATACGCGACGGTTTGGCCCATCTCCTGCGAGCCGATGACTTTGTCCGCGAGTTTCATCACCTACAACGGGAAAATGCACAGCTGAGAGCAAAGTTGGACTTTTACAAAAAGAAGGAGGAAACCGAATCCGCAGGACAATGAGCTAAGTTTTATTTATTTGTCCTTAATTTATTAAACTGTTTGTTATTTGCCAATCGTTAAAAGAATGAGATTCTTGTAAAGACTGTTAGAGAAAGAAAGGTTTAACCCAGAAGAGGAGATAGAAAGTTTTGATTTAATAAATTTTATATGATTACTTTAAATAATAATAGAAAGAAATTGTTATACATTTATTCGTTCCTATTATTGCGCTAATACCATATCGAAATTATTTGAAACTTTGATATATCGAAATCGCATTCAACGTTAATTAAGGATATCTATTATAATCTTTTCGGATTTCTGGTAAAGTTAGTAGCCTTTACTTCTGTACTCCAACTTTAGCTGATCGTTTGTGGCCGCCAGCCTAATGGGCATATCCACTGAAATGGTTCTATTGAAGTTCTCATAGTCCACCAAATACCTCTCGTTCTGGGCATCATAGTGGATAATGTTGACAAACCGCTGTCCCCAGAATATCTCTCTGGGCAGATACGATGTCTTGGCCTCGGTCATTTGGGCAGTGGCCGGTGATGTGCCCACAATGGACACATACAGCTCAAACTGGGCGGCATTAAAGAGTTTGGCATTGCTGAACTGATACAGGGGACTCGTCTCGTCGATGACATGGCAGACGACATCGGGCCAGACGATCAGCTGCTCGCCATTCCCCTCCAGCTCAGTTCCGTGTGAGTTTTTATGACCTCACCCTCGCGCGTGCTGCAAAGATAAGATGGTTTTTAAGATAAAACTGATATAGTAAGAGTTGGTAATGGAATCTAGACTTATAATATTAATAATAATATTTACTGAATACCAAACATAAATTAAGGTTTTCCAGGAAGTTAAACGAATCTCATAATAGGTAAGTTAAAGCTTTGAGCATATTTATCACTGTATCTTAAGTTAAATATTAATATTTATAGGTCTCCGGACATAATCTTTATTTACCAAGATAACTGAAAGAACAGACATCCCAAAAATGAGACAGTGACTCACCGCTTGTCTATGATCATGTAGACGCGTATCTTGGACTCGATGGTCTGCTGCTCGCGGGGATCGCACACGCGGAAAAGCAAACACAGCTGGCCGTCGCGATAACAGATCTGCAAGGGAGATAATCACAAGTTGGAGCATCGAATCCGATCTTCCTAATCGGAGGCATTTCTACTTACCACCGCCTTGTCACTGAACTTTAACTTGGTCATCTGCTTGGCCGGACGAGCCGTCTTGGCATAGATCACGCTCACCATAATTCCCTCGATCAGAGCGGCGCTTACCATTTGCATAACGAACAGGAACACCGTTTCCGGACACTCCTCGCTGGCATACTTCTCGCCGAAACCCAGAGTGGTCTGTGTCTCCACCGAATAGATGATCATGGCCACCCAGTTACCTACCCCATAGATGCATGGATCCTGCCCTCGCCCATTCTTGCACCACTGATGGGATCAAAGATGAAGTCGCCGTGCGAGTAGGAACCACATAGCAAAGGGCGGCGAAGAGCAGCCAGCAGGAAAATAGCTGCCCAGGAATATGGTCAGCATGTATTTCCAATTCAGCTCCATCTGCGCAAGTCGAAAGGGGGAAGCTCCGGTTAAGCATTTCTCACTAATGATCCCAGGATTCCCAGTGTAGCAATGCAAGTGATTTAATTGGTTAATTTCGTATTTATTAATATATGTATGAGTATTTCAGTGTGTCATGGGCTCGTCGATTAGTGGATTAGAGGTTAAATGCTAAATGTAACCCGCTCGCTTTGGCTGGTATCAGTCTTCGAGGCGAGATGGGGACTAGATGCGGCGGCTCGTGGGCCAACTCATCCAGTTTACGCTGTATGCTGGGCGTTATGCTATACACATCCGATCGCGACGGATCGTTGCTAGACGATGAAGGTTTCTTGTGGCCAAACCAGGATCTTACCAGCGTAGTGACCAGATCCCGCATATAACGCCAGGACTTTTCTGGTATGCGGCGAAACACAACGTTCTCCTTGCCATTCTTCCCATCACCCGATAGGCTGCGTCGCAGGATATCGGAGGAAGATGTTCCCGGCTCTGGTGTTAATTCAATGGTACTGCCTGCCCAGTCATTGGTGCAGGGAAAACTGGGGAGTATAAGATAACAATAATTAAAAACTATTTAACTTGCATTTTTATACCCTGCAGGGTATCATAATTTTACTTAGATGCTTGAAACGCATCAAAGGAATCATTTCCGACCCTATAAATCATATATATCTGATCAGCATCAAAGCCGAGTCGATCTAGCCATGTCTGGTTGAAAAATAAATTTTCGATATTTTTTCCTTTTTTTTTTTTCAGAAAAGATATGTTAAAATTCAAAATTGCAAAATAAATTTCTAAAATTATTTAGTAGCAGATTGATTAAGCTATAAAAACTAACATAGAACAGCTTCGAATTAAAATAATGCATTTTGTTTAAGTTATGCGTTTTTTTTATAATTTAAATTATTAATAAAAAACAATTCAAAGAATGCGAATATTATAAGCTAGTTACGATCATATTTCGATCGATGCTTTAATTCAATATCAAACTGCAAGGGTAATAAAGTACAACTACCCAAAATTAGTTTCCTTTCTGTTAGCTTAAATAACTATATTTTCCTAGACTAAGTACTATATAACCGTTAATTTACTTTTTTAACCTTGCCTATTTATTACTGTCTTATAATTACTTCTATAAAGACCTTGAAATTAGTCTTGTTTTATAAGTTTTCCTAATAAAAGGTATTCTTATTATAGATCTCGACTTACTTTTGCTCACTGCGTCTCCAGCTGATCTCCCGTCGTCTTGGACTTCCTGCGACGCACAAAGCCAGGATCTCTGGATAGTAGTCCGCCGCATTGACCGCTCCTTCTCGGAGGATCGCAACAGCGGCTTCTGTCCAGCGGCTTGGCTTCACGGGCATTGAAGTGAGCGGTGCATGGGTAGGATCCGCGCCAAGCGAAGATGGATCCGATTGCATGGCCGGAACTTGGGATATAGTGTGAGTGGGCCACGCAGATGCTGAGATTACTGACGTGCGCGCACCTAAATTGTCGTGAATTTGGGGCAATTCCTCCGGGTCTCTTGCGTAGATTTGCGTTTTAATTTTAATTGAATTACGCTGCATGGAGATAGAGAAAGAGAGGCGATCTCGAGCTCGTCTTTATGCCTGACCGCTGACACTGACTAAGTCGGATCTGTGGAGACGGGACTATCTGGCCTTTGAAAGATATGCATTGAATTTATTTATTATCTGGACAGCGGACCAGTCGCATGACAGTCGCCCGCTGAGATAGTTCTCAAAATGGTGCCCCGTTTATTTATTGTATAATTTAGGCTGTTATCAGTGTATTATTTGCAAATGATCAAATTAGCCCAACGATCTTGATTGCGTCTGTTTGCGAATGTATAATTTTAGTTCAGATATCCGCTGAGTTTTGAATTTTGGCGGCTTTTAAGAGAGATTGTACAGAAATATAAAGTTATAAAATGTATCTATATAATTTACCTTTTTTTTCTGATACCTTCAATACTTTAAATATTCTTTATCAAAGTAAATTTTAAAAAGTAAATGCAAATAACGGTTAACTTTCTGATACATTCACTTGCCACAAAATTCTAGTATTTTGGTATATTCCAGGTAAAGGTTGAGGTCATTGCTAAAATACCACCAAAGTTCCCCACTCTGTGCCACAATCTAGTTTTTTTCGTGGCACTTGGCAATTTAGTACATTTCACCAATCCGTTGCTTATTTGTATATCCGAGTGGCAGTCACACTAATGGTTCGGACCGATACGGACGTGAAAAAAAAGATACTCAGATACATTTCGGAGAAGATATTAACTTCTTCGTGCGTGTGTGGCTTCGTTGTCGAGAGAGAGAAATTGCACAAATTGACGGAATCGCGCACACAGTTGTTGAGGTCGTCGAGTGCAATCACAGCCGCCAGCTTTCTGATATCGAAAAGTGCAATTAGCGAGCGTGCGCGTATCTGTACGGTGCAGTGTTTCTCTGTTTGCTGTGTATGTGTGCGTGTGCCTGTGTGTGTCTCAGCAGCACAACAACAACAAAAATAAAATTTAAGTTAAATTGAAGAGAAAATTCATCAGAAGATACTCGCAAACTGAAGGAATGAAATATGCTTAAAACACAGTTTGCACAAAGTGCCAACTAGCGTAAAAGTGTACCAAGTGAAAATAGCCAACAGCAGCAAATCGAATTGAAAATCAAAGGTAAATACAAAATGAATAAATACGAATAAAATATTTATGTCAGTGTTTGCTTAAATTAAAAGGGGAAGCAGAGCAACCACAACCCATTACGGCTGTCGTTTGCTTTTTATTTGCACTTGCCTGTTGGCTGTGTGTGTGTGTGTATTTTGGGAGGTAAAACAATATTGTCGTGCAAATTCCATTGATTCATTGGAAATTCATTCTGGGAATTGCGGGGGAATCGTCCATATATATAAATATATATGTATATCCATAGTAATATATATATTTACAAATTTATGTAGCGCCGCCACTCGCTTGGTGTGTGTATGTACGCCGCTCTGTGGGCCCAAAAGAGCGATACGAAATTCCCAGAAACGCATTTTCTAATTTAGACCGATTTCTGAGAAGTGACAGACAGCCCAAGCGAGCCAGCAGCAGCAGCACCAGCAGATACAAAGATACAAGCGCGCGTGTATGAGTGCCTGTGTGTGTTTGTGTGTGTGCGAGTGCTGATGATGTTGGCAGCTGCCTCACTGTAGTTGTTGCCCGTTGCTATTGAATGAAAAATGCTGCTGCTGCTGCTTTTGCTGCAACATTTAACACCGCAAGCCAAGCTGAAGCTGAAGCTGGCCCGCACACAGATACAGATACAGCTTTAGCAGATTCGGAGCAGATGCGGATACAGTGGCACTCGCTAAGGGGATCGACTAAACATTCCATTATGCAGTTTCCCACGCGCAAAAAACACTATTCTGATACTGTGATTATTATTGCTTATCTGTGTTATGGCTTTACAACTGCTCTTTTATTTAATTTTTAAATTTAAATTTTAAAACTTTCTGTATTGTTTTACTTAATTATATACATTTTTTAAATTTAACTAAATAATTTAAGAAACTATATAACTTAAAATATATCTTTTAAATAGTAATAGCAATTTCAAAGCTCATTTCCAGTGCTTTTATTTTGATATGTTAAATTTAACATTATTGAAATACTTTGCTTACTTTTCTTCATTATCCAGTGTTTACTGTACTGGCTGTCTCTCTCGCTCTCTCTCTCTCTCTCTCCCGCTCATACCAAAACCAATACTAGTGCAGAGACCCGGTTGCTGCTAGTTGGGCCTCTGCTGGCCGTGGCTTCTTGCTAAAGGTGTATAAAGGTGTAGCCGCTAAATTCGCCGAAGCCGTACAACAACAACTGGGTAGCAGAGGTGAGCGGGGTATATTGGAACATCGGTGTTGTTGTACCCTTCATAAAAAAGGTGTTATTAACTTCGTTTGTAATGCGTCAAATTGTTGTTGCCGCTTGTCTGCGTTCCTTTCTGGTGTGTGTATGTATGTATTGTATGTGTGTGCACTTTTTTTTTTTTTTTTTGATTATTCTGGGTAAAACCCGCTTTTACCATCTTCTTCCGCTCATTTCCTTGAATTTTCGTATAAACTTGAGAGCGTTTTCAATTTTTTTTCTTTAATAGCTTTTCACATGAAACGGTTTCGAACAGGATAAGTGCAGTGTGAGTGTGTGTTATGCAGAGAGGTAATAAGAGCGGGAGGTAAGAGAGACGCCGCTTAATTGGCAGCTGTTTGCAGAGCGAGCGAGCGTCCGATCTTGCCAAAATGCCAAATTGTCTGCCCAGCAACAATGCGTCCGCTGTGAGAGAGTTTACACATACATACATATGTATGATTATACACACATACATACACACGTGCATAGGTAGGCCATTGGCTATTGCTCTGCTTCTTCTACTACAGCTGCCACCCCCTACCCCTAAACCCCTCCTCCACAACCGTCTGCTGCTCTTTCATCCCATTGTTGTTTTGTTTTCTTTTTTTTTTTTTTTGTTTTCTGTTGAGATTTTTCGATGGAAATTTGATTTTGTTCGTTTATTGTTAATTGTTCGCGTGAATTTGTTCAATTGAAACGCAATGCCAAAGTGAAATGTGGCAAAACACTCAATTGTGTGAGTGGTGTGTGTGTGGTGTGTGTAAGAGTGGAGAGTGAAAGAAACGGGTCAAACTAAGATTTTATTCGGAATTGCAATTAACGGAAAAACACAAACACATATTTCTGTGTACTTACAGTTATTACAGCCATAAAAGTGCTGCCACAAGTTACACTTGTCAGCGCGGATTCCCCAGAATTTCTATCTAATCTTATTGTTATTGTTATTTTTTACACAGAAGTTAATTGCCATGATGTTACGTATAGTTTTCGCAAGGCTATTCACATGCCAGTTAGGTCAGAACTTAACTGCATTTCCAATGAAAATGCATTATGGAGAATGCGATATAATTTCATATAGTCGATACTTAAAGCAATTTCCGTTTGAAATTTATAATTTATCATAATCATTTTAATTAGTTTTGAAGTTAATCCAAGTAAATCAGGTTTTTTCAGTGGTATTCTTATGATTAATATTTTTAGTTCGCTTTAAAAGTTAACTTACCCTTTCGACTCTATATAAACGTAAAAAACGCATACCTTGGCAAAAAATCCATACACAATTACCTTTTACGCTTGAGTTCCTGAGAAAAATGGTCAAGTACTCCCGGAAACAATGGACAAATCAAATAGTTTTCAAAGGAAAAACTGAGAAGCCATTGAAAATGTATCTTTCCGAAAATATGTTTGTATATCCCATGTATTGTTTATGACAAAAAAACAACCTTAACCGAAAACCAGTTCAAGTCTGGCTTATGTAAATGTCGTTTATTTGTGACCGCGTTTCGAAATCTGACAACAGAAAAAATGTGAAATCCAAAGAAATGTTTGCTTATGAGTAATTTTAATAATAAGTAGAATAATAATAATAATATCTCTTGACCTTAGCTCCTGCTCTTATCTGAGGCCCCCTTCAAATCCCCAACCCCATTCCAGCACGCTTACCGTATCTCCCATACATACATATTTGCTTTTCCCTGGAAAAGCGAACGAAATGCTTTTGATTGTTCTTAGAATTTCATTTCGTTTCAACTTTGCAAACGTTTCTCTAGATAAGCCAGTCGGGATGGTGTGTCTGTGTGTGTGTGAGAGAGAGAAAGAGAGGGTGGTGGGTGTGCGCGTGTGCTGATTTTGTGGTTCGTAGTAATTTATCAATGAATTTTCTATATATTTATAGGGGCTTGTATAATCTCTCTCTCTCTTTGGCTCTCTATCGACGCCACTATACGTACTCGCTAAGATCGCCAAAGCACTTGGTTATCTGATTTGGTAATCGCTAAATTTAAAACAATTTAATCAATCACAATTACGGTATCGGTAAATAAAAACCCCACCTTATTGGCCAACTTTGTTCAGTTAAGAATCAAGCTCACTATTAAAAGCAGGTAAACACAAAGAATGTGAAAAGTTAAAGTGAAATTTATGGTTTACCTACCTCAATTTGTGTCAAGAAAGAGTGAATATTACTACTAAAAATATCTTTAATTTCATATTTGATCATATTTATCATTCCCCTTAAATGCTACTTGTGAATCAAGTCTAAGATAAGTTCAAAAAACCTTATCCGTGAATGACCTTATCACTCTGGCAGCCATCTCTCTAGATAATACGATTATCATATCATCACAAAACCTGACCAAAAACAAATCTCATATGGTTCTGTTATTTCATACATATTCACGATTACAAAAGTTCTGTGAGCTCTCAGGGCCATAATTTCAGCTTAGGGCAAACAAAAGGAACCACAACATAACCGAACCCAACCGAAAGTATATCTACACTCATAAAAATGTTGTATCTGAAGTAGGTTTATAAATT